GTTTAAAATGTGGAGAGCCCAGCTTGACTCATTTGCACCTCACACCATACAATGGATTAGACACAGACACTGATTTGTGCATCTGGATGTGACTCCACTACAAAGATAACCACATGTCTTTGGCTAGTTTCCAGAGAATCTTCAGGGATTACTGTTAAGTGTCTCTAAATAATTATTTTAGCTGCCATATATTGCATGTCTACTATTTGCAGGTTATGTACTTTCTTTCCAAACCTTAAGACAATCCTATACTGTGGGAATTGGGTCCCATGACATAAGTCAAGGAAACTAGAATTTAAAGAGGTTAAGTCACTGCCCACAGGGCAAACTAGCCAGCCTAACTCCAGAGCATGTGCTTTTTTATACTCTATATACCTCCTTAATTTCATCAGGCCTATTTTAATTTCTGGATCTAAAGTAAGCAATTTACTAGCCTGAGCCTAAAACTGGCATCACCTTGCTCCTGCCCCCCACCCCAATCTTGCAAAACTCACGTACTTGCTTATTCTGAGAACTGAGCCTACATAGAAACTTTCTAAAATCATTTTGATTTAATTTCCTTTTTCCAAATCTATTTCTAAAGGTGCTAGAAATAGAACAATGTGAACTAAAACGGTAGCTCTACCCACCACCTACAGTAGGGTCCTGTCTCCCCCGTTTCCTTGCTGGCATCTCTGTTACCGCTAAAGACGGAAAGCAGCAGGACTGGCTCATGTTCTCTTGACTGGACCTTGAGCTCCTTGAAGAAGAGGGCGATTTGATTCTGCATCCTTTTTTTTTTTTTTTTTGTAGAGACACCCTCGGTAGAGTGCCATGGCATCACACAGCTCACAGCAACCTTCAACTCCCGGGCTTAAGTGATTCTCTTGCCTCAGCCTCCCAAGTAGCTGGGAGTATAGGCGCCTGCCACAAGGCCCAGCTATTTTGTTGTTGTTGTTGCAGTTTGACAGGGTCAGTTTTGAACCCACCACCCTTGGTATATGGGGCCGGCGCCCCACTCACTGAGCCACAGGCACCGCCCTGATTCTGCATCCTTAAAACCTTCAACACAGTGTCTGGCTGGAAGGACTCTTTCCATACAGGCTTTATTGAGTGAGTGACCCTGATAGGAAGTTCACAGGGATACAACTTTATTGAGATTTTCTCTGCAATGTAGGTGTCTAACAAAGCTACCACTGTATACTGTTCAGAATTTGGGTTGTTAAGAAAATCCTGCAGATTTGTTTTAGAGACACTGCTATTCTGCACATGCTGAACACAAGAAATGATATAAGGAAAGGACATGAGGAAAGGACAGTCTTTCCTTTTCCTTTTCCAAATGATGCCTTTTCAACTCTGCTATCTTCTTGGCAGCAAACAAGACTTTTAGTCATTTGATACGTTTTTTTCTGATTCAGATTCACACTGTGAGGAGAAAGTGCCACAATAGCAAATTATGCAGGAACCCTACCATGTTGGGCCTAGCTCGTTTCCATCTGAACTTTCCAATTGTGAGAGGAAACCAATGTCAGTTTCTGCTGACAGCAGCGGGCTGTCACCTGGGCAGTTTGGGTTGGTTACTAGAAGCTCCTTGATTTGTCCCAGTGGAAAGTCAGAAAGGTTTTTTTTTTTTTTCTAAGAAAAATAAAGATACATCTTATCTATGCGAAGTTTACCCTTTTAAAAAAGAAAACTGGCAGGTCACCTACATTGTATTACCTTCCGCAAGGCCATTTCTGTCTCTGTCCATCTTTGGAAATCTGCCCTAAGGAGACTTTTGCCTTCCTGTCAGGAAGCATTCTTGCTGCCTGTCACTGCAGGACATTGGCCTGGTCTTCACACACTGTCACTTTATAGGATGGATTAGGGTATGGGTATCTGGGGGACGATGTTTTTGAAACCTTTTTGAAGTACACATCTGTCATGCATACAAAGCTTAAGTGTCCTACATGATGAATGTTTACAAAGTGAGCACACCCCTGTTAACTGTTAACTCAGATCCCACCCTAGTCCACCACTCACCACAAAGAAGACCACTATTCTAACTTCTATTGTCATAGATTAATATGCTTGTTCTGTTTTTGACATTAAAGCTGCTTGAAACTTCTTCGTACATGTCCTCTGGTGAACATAAGCATTGATTTCGGCTGAATATAAGGCCACAGGGGAATTGCTATGTATCATGGGGTATGTTTAATATATACTGTCAAAACATATTCCAAAGTATTTGCGTCTACTTACACCTCCACCAGTGTATGAGGGTTTGAGGTGCTTTGCACTCTTTTAAATATTTAATTTCTTCAACTTTTTCATTTTAGCCATTCCGGTGGTATCTTGTAGTTTTAATTTGCTTTCCCCCAATGGTAAGAATGACCTCCTTTTTTAGTAATTTGAATATATTATACTAAATGACATGAAGGCTATGTTAACCAGTTTGATGGAAGTGTTTCGGATTGCGTGTGAAAATACCACACTGTACCCCAGAAGTGCATTAAGGTACATAGTTATCATTCAATAATAAAAAAAAGAATATATTATACTTTCTGAAGTGCCTAGTTTTTTGCCCATTTTTTCTAAAATACCTTTTTTTCTACAGACCTATAGACATATATTTTGATATGATTTTGTTAGATACATATATAGGAAATATATTCTCTCAATATGTGGCTTGCCTTTTGAGTTTCATAATGGTGTCTTTTGATGAAAGGAGGTCTTAATTTTCAAAGTCCAACTTCGATCAATCCTTTGATGCCTACTGATTTTAATGGCATGTCTAAGAAAGTGTTGCCTACCTCAAGGTCATGAAGATACTGTATATTTTCTATTAGAATTGTTATTGTTTTCCCTTCCATATGTAGGTCTCTGATGCATTTTGAACTTTTTCTTAAGAATTGAGACCTTAATGTTTCCCAGGCTAACCTCAAACTCCTGGGTTCCACGGAAACTCCTGTCTCAGTTTCCTGAGCGGCTGAGAATATCTGCTTATACCACTCACTGCACCTGGCTTTCAATTGACTTTGATTTTCTTTCTTTTTTGTTTGTTTGTTTTGAGACAGAGTCTCATTTTGTTGCCCTTGGTAGAGTGCCTTGGCATCACAGCTCACAGCAACCTCAAACTCTTGGGCTCACGTGATCCTCTTGCCTCACCTCCCAAGTAGTTGCGACTATAGGCACCTGCCACAACACCTAACTATTTTTAGTGATGGGGCCTCTGAGCTCAGGCTAGTCTCAAAGTCCTGAGCTTACGTGATCTACCTGCCTTGGCCTCCCAGAGTTCTAGGATTACAGCCACCATGCCCCCCCCCCCAATTGACTTTGTATGTAGCATAAAATAAGAGTCAAGGTTTATTTTTCTTCCCAAGCAGATATCCAGTTGCTTCTTCATTTATTATTAAAAAGAACATTTTTCTCCACTGAATTGTACTGGCAACCAAGTGACTGTATATGCGTGGACTGTATAATTTCTGGACTTTATTCTGTTCCACTGGACATTTTCTTTATCCTTGGGCCAAAACTATATGGTCCTAATCCCTAAAACGTTATAGTAAATTTCAAAATCTGATAGCCTTTTTTTTTTTTTTTCTTACTTTTCTTCAAGGTTTTCTTGGCTACAGTAGGTTCTTTGCCTACATTATAAATCTCCACAGTAGTTAGCAATAGATTGTCAATTTCTTTCCAAAAAGGCTGCTGGAATTTTGATTGAGATTGCATGGAGTCTATAGATTAATGTGGAAAGAACTGACACCCTAACAATATTGAGTCTTCAAGTTCATGATGGTGTTTATTTCATTTACTTAAGTCTTTTCTGTTTTGCAGTCTTTAGCATAAAAATCTTGCTTATATTTCATTTGATGCTATCTTAAATAATATTATTTAAGATTTTTATTTTTCATTGTTTATTGCTAGTATAAAGAAATACAATACAATGTCAATATCAAATTGGAACTAATAAAAAAAGAAATACATGGATATTTAATTATTGACTTTGTATCCTGTGACCTTGTTAAATTCACTCTTAAATCCTGGGATTTTGTATATCACTGTGGATTATCTACATACAGATCCTTGACAGTTTGCTTCTTTCTTTCTCTTTTCTTTTTTTTTAGTAGACAGAGTTTCCCTCTGTTGCTCAGGCTGGAGTGCAGTGGTGCCATCATGGCTCCCTGCAGTTTCAAATACCTGGGCTCAAGGAAGTCCTTCGGCCTCAGCCTCCCAAGAAACTGGGACTACAGGCATGTACTATCTTGTCTAATTTTTTTTCTTATTTTTTTTGTAGAGAGAAAAAGTCTCACCATCTTTTCCAGACTGTACTCTACTCCTGACCTCCAGTGATTCCCCATCTCTGGCCTCCTAAAGTGCTGGGATGATAGGCAGAAGCCACCGTGCCTAGCCATAAAAATATTTATAATGGAACTATTTCATATTGAAATCATAGTAAATTAATCAGTAATTTTTTTTTTTTTTTTTGAGACAGAGCCTCAAGCTGTTGCCCTAGGTAGAGTGCTGTGGCGTCACAGCTCACAGAAACCTCCAACTCCTGGGCTTAAGCGATCCTCTTGCCTCAGCCTCCCAAGTAACTGGGACTACAGGCGCCCACCACAATGCCTGGCTATTTTTTGGTTGCAGCCATCATTGTTGTGTGGCAGGCCCAGGCTGGATTTGAACATGCCAGTTCAGGTATATGTGGCTGGCACCTTAGCTGCTTGAGCCGCAGGCACCGAGCCTAATCAGTGAATTGTTAAATGGAATGGAGCCTCAGAAACCACCTTGAACCTACTGTGATGCCTCTAAATATTTCAATGTAGAAATACAAAGTGTACTTTCATTTTGGTCACTCATGTCATGCAAGTAAATGAATAGCTGAATACTTGGAACTTTGATTTTAAATGTAATTATGACCTTTAAGAATGACAACTGGTTTAAAAATAAGCCAAAGTGTAAGTAAAATGGGCAACTGATACACTTCAGTTTCTAAAGAACATTTATAAGGAAAAGTTGTTTTTACTTTGCAGCAATCAGTCTTAGAGAAAAGACTTCACCATCTTATATGTGATGCGGTTTCCTGAGCTCCTGACATCCTCATAGAATTTGATTGGACTTTCCTTCTCTTGAAAATGAATGGGCATTTTCTTGCTCTTCACACTCATGAGTTTCACTCCCAGGGGGCCCAGATTTTGATAATCCTATGGTGAACAGACAGAGAAGAGAACAGGAGAGGTTATTCAGTGACTTACCGGCCTTGATAGATTAGGTTTTCTTTATTATAGTTGGCCTTTGTCTCAAAGATTTCATTGCCCTTCTAATTGCCTGAATGGTGTATAATGCATAAAATGTGAGAGCCACTATAAAATAATAAAAGCCCCAGAACTCTCAGTAAATTTCTAGGCACAGTAGGGCATACACAGTAGGCATGGTGTCTCAGAGCAGGCAGCAGGGCTGGCAGGCTTGTGTCTCGGATTGAAGGAGAAGGGATACTGGCTAGAGTGGGGGGATAGATGTTCTGCGAGTTCTTGAACTTGTGGAAGAGCCTTGGGTGTGTAGCATGTGCTGCTTGACAAGGATACATTCTGAGAAACTCATCGTGATTCTGTTTTGTCATTGTGTGAACATCACAGAGCGTACTTGCATGAACCTGTATGGTGGAGCCTATCACTGCGAATCTACAAAACTGTACAGCATGTTACGGTACCAAATAGTGCAGGTAACTAACACAATGCTGTGCATTCATATTCAGGAGTCTAAACAGATCTACGTAGAAAAGGCAACACATTACAATATGATATTACAATGGCCATAGTGTGACCAGGCAATAGAATTTTTCAACTCTGCTACAATCTGAACAGGACCATCATTATATATGCAGTCTGCCACTAACCAGAATGTTTTATAGTGCATGACTGCATATACATAGCCCTCTGCTGGCCAGGATATAAGCACAGCAGAGTTTTCCACATTATTCAAGAACAAAAGGAAAGACCCTGCAGAGGCCACTTTGACTATGAATATACTAATACTGACCAAATTCTCTATGAATTTCACATTTTTCACAAGATTTTAGGCTACTGTGTAGATAAAACTTACTGCATTCTGCCACACTATAGTCTAAGATACCGGCAATCAGGATTAGAAGTCTAATTCATATGAAATTCCACAGCCAACCCCCAACTGGTTTGACATCAACTCATGCCCTACCCGATGTCCTTTACTCTGAGAAGCCTCCCAAGCCATAATTCTTGCTTTTAAATTCCTTCAACACTTCAGCAAACCCTTTCTGAGTGCCAGGTCCTATATCAAGTGCTAAGGAGCAATAATAAAGTTACAGACCTGTCAGGGCGATGGGTACAGGCAGTACATTTCCTCTTACATAGTAATTGTTGGCTTTTAGAATCTGTCTCTATGAACCTATAAAACGATTTGAAAGTAAAATCTGCCACACAGGTGTCTCTGAGATTTCATTTCTTCCTATTGTCCCCTTAAATTCCCAAGCATCTAACAAGTGCTTGGCACGTTGTGGATTTCTCAGTAAACGTTTATTCAAATTTAGGAGACTCAAAGAATGAAAAAGGAAGGTGGTGTTTTATTTCTCAAAAATGCCTATAATTGTATTTAGCTTTCAAAATATCTATTTATAGAGCTAGAATAAATGTAAGATAGGAGAAATACAAATTGATGAGATCTACCACACCTTTCAAAACTGTCTAGAGGAAGACTTTGAAATAATGTACGATAGCCATGGCAGTTCCACCACATGAAAAAGTCGTATGGAAAGTCAGAGGTCTTTCATTCAACCAAATGGTATACTATTTGGGGATTTTGTACACAATTATCTACTAGCCTGAGATCATCGTAACATACTAGGAATCATGCCCATGGGGATGTTTGGGGCCAGAGAGACCTAAACTTTAGTCTTTCTGTGGTCACTTGGTGGTAGTAAGGACTGCATTGTTGTTAAAATGGTTTGTGTTGGTCTGTTTCCTCCACCTTCTTACACCATTCTTTCTTCTACCAGAGTTTAAATTTGAGAACTTTGAAGGTTTTGGTAGTAATGAGAAGGAAAATAGCAAGGCGTGGCTGTGGGGGTGATTAAAGTATACCAAAAAGAGGGTTTTTATTAATTTTTAAATTTTTAATTATTATGGGTATGTAATAGTTGGATATCTTTATAGGGCACATGTGATGTTTTGATACAGGTGTACAATATGAACTAATCAAATCAGGGTAAATAAGGTTTCTATTTTCTCCGATATTTACCCTTTCTTTGTGTTAGAAAGATTTCAGTCCTACTCTGTTAGTTATTTTAAAGTATACCCCTAACTTATTGTTGCTTATAGTTACTTTGTTGTGCTATTAAATATTGCTCAATCTATTTCATTATTTAACTATATTTTTGCACCCATTAACCATTTCTGATTCATCTCCCCCTCCGCACTATCCTTTCCAGCCACTGGTAATCACTATTCTCCTCTCTGTCCCTGTGAGGAGACATATTTTCATGTTTAGATGCTGCTACATGTGAGAACCCAAGGAGATTTGTCTTTCTGTGCTTGGCTCATTTCATTTAATATAACAGTCTCCAGTTCCATCCATGTTGTTACAAATGGAGGATTTCATTCTTTTGTGGCTAGACAATATTCCATTTTGCATGTATACCAGAATTTCTTTACACATTCATTGACTGATACACGCTTCGGTTGATTCCAAATCTTAGCTATTGTGGATAGAGCTGCAGTTCACATGGTAGAGCAGGCATCTTTCTGAACTACCCAATACCCTTCCCTTGGATGTATACCCAACATTTAGGAATGCTGGGCCATATGGTAGTTGTATTTTTAGGTTTTTGTGGACCAAAAAGAGGTTTTAAAATTTAAATGTTTTATACTCCAGGTTTTGACTAATGGCCTCTGTGGCATACTGTACTTTCCAAAGGTGGCCCTGCATGCTTTTCCTACAATGTGATGCAGACACGCCTCCATCAGGGTGCAAGAGCTGTGTTTCTTTCCCTTGGGAGGAACTTTGTAACTGCACCAACCAATGGGATATGGTGAAGGTGACCATGTTGACTTCCAAGGTTAGCCCCACAAAGCCCTGCAGCTTTCATGTTGCTCTCTGGATCTGCTTGCCCTGGGAGAAGGCAGGGACCCTAACAAAGGGAATTCAAACTGCCCCGTGGAGAGGCCCATGTGAAGAGGAACTGCGGCCCCAAGCTTAGCCTCAGCTTGCTGGTGTTATGAGTAAGCCGCCTGTTAAGTGGAGCTTCTTGCCCCTGTCAAGCCTATAGACAAGTGCAGCTCCAGCCATCAGCTGATTTCAACCACCCGGGAGCCTCAGTGAGAACTGTCCAGCGGAGGCCTCCCCAAATTCCTAATCACAGAAGGCCTGAGAGGGAATAAATAATAATTGTTATGAACCACTGGGTTTGGGGATTATGTACGATACAGCATTATGTGTATAACTTACTTTGTATGCTAGTAGTGGAGGTCTGTAAATGAATATATGTAGCAAATTGGGCAACAGTAAGAGTAAAAATAGTATCTAATGAGAGATGTAAATTGTTGACCAATTTCACTAATCTTAGCAAATAGAATTTTTTAATATTCATATTATAGATTATCTCCATTAATCAACAAAACGTCGTTTTCTCAGCAGAGTTGTTCTCAAGAATCTTACCTTGAAATCCCTCTCATCCTCATACAGTAAGTATTTCATGTCACACCACTCTGTGCTTGAACTGTCCTGTTCCTGTGCCCTCAGAGACTGGATGTATCTCATGCTGTCCGCAGGGCTCAGATGCAGGGAGCTCTCGGTGGAGGAGCTCCTCATGTCTGCATTCCCTTCTGTGCTCTGCTGCAGTCTGGACCTCTTATCTGGGATGGATACAAAGAAATCAATTATGTGTGCATTTTGAACAGATAAAGTAAAAACATAATATGTATTTTGCCACATTTTTAATTTGAAAGAACTTAGAGAGTTAGAAATGTACAATTTAACTATTAAATAGGAAGTCCCATGGTTAGAAACTCTGAGTTATAGCTCCTTCGGTAGCTAGTAAGTTACAGTAATCATTGGAAATACACGTGTATGTTGGCATTTTGGTTAGTTACACCGGGCTCCAAACCTTGCCAATGTAGACAACACCCCTTCCCTTGTCCCTCTCCACCAGCATTTATTTAATTCACTGGTTTTTGGGGGGGGGTGGGGGGGTGGGGGGTTGTTTTTTTGAGGCAGAGCTTCACTCTGTTGCCCAGGCTAGAGTGCTGTGGCATCAGCCTAGCTCACAGCCATCTCAGGTTCCTGGGTTCAAGTAATCTTTCTGCTTCTGCCTCCTGAACAGCTGGGAATACAGACACCTGCCACAATGCCTGGCTAATTTTTCTATTGTCAGTAGAGATGGGAGCCTTGTTCTTGCTCAGGCTTCTCTTGAATGCCTAAGTTCAAAGGATCCTCCCACTTCAGCCTCCCAGAGTGCCAGGATTACAGGCGTGAGCCACTGTGCCTGGCCTTTATTTAATTCGTTGTGAAGTGAAACATGGTGACTTTGATTTGAAAATGGGACTAGAGAGGGGAGATATGCTGGGTGTGGAACCTGCAGCCCTTAAGGGCACATGTGGCCTTCTAGATCCTCAAATGCGGCCTTTCGACTGAATACAAATTTTACAGAACAAATCCTTTTATTAAAAGGGGCTCAGCCCAGAAAGATGAAGCTTTTCTTGCCTCCTTTGGTGCTTAAAAAAGAACAATCTTGAAATCAGAAAGCCACAGATTCCCTACCCATAGCTGACGTGTATCTCTTCCTTGTGTGGGGGGCACCTGCCCATAATAGATAAGTGTTTATTAAATTGAAAAATAAGTATTTTGAAAAAAATCATCACATTGCAGTAAAATAATACCTATGTGTGAGTCTGACTCCAAAAGCTTTTCTTCAGGTAGCCCTTCCAGTCCAGCAGCTTGAGTAAGATACAGTTGCCTAAAAGAACAAATAAGAAAAAGTCTGTCAATCAATTAATATTGTATCACATCAGCAGTTCTCAACCTGTGGGTCATGACCCATGGGAACTGTATTAAAGGGCCGCAGCATTAGGGAAGTTGAGCTCCTGGTGTCTGCAGCATTGGGGAGGTTGAGCTTACTAGGTGCTGAAGATGCACAGATGAAAAATGAGGCCAGACACAGGGACTCATGTCTGTAATCCTAGCACTCTGGGAGGCCACACATCATGGTGGGTGCCTGTAGTCCCAGCTACTGGGGAGGCTGAGGCAAGAGAGTTTGAGGTTGCTGTGAGCTATGACACCATGACACTCAATCCCAGGGTGACTGGGTGAGACTCTGTTTCAAAAAAGAAAGAAAGAAAGAAAATGGGAACATAGGTTCTACCTCCAAGGAGCATAGGGCCAAATAGCCTTACAGGCTTACATTAAAGCTGTGGTTTGTACCATGATGACTAATTAGCATAGTGTGAGAATGCTATCAGGCAGAAAGGAGAAGCACTTGAGTTAGCTGTAGGAGGCGGAAGAGATGAAATCTGAGCTGAGCCTTCAACCTGGAGGTGGTCACTATGGAAGAGGTGGGGGTGAGAGAAGAAGAGCATGCCAAAGTAAGGTTGGAACACACTTAAAGTTTCAGAAATGAGAGGAAGCATGGCACCAGTGGGGTCACTATTGTAATAATTCAGGTGGGGAATGATAGTGGCCTGAATGGGATGGCTTTGAGATGGAAGACAAAGAGAGAAAGAAACAAAGAAAGAAAGCAAGCAAACAGTAGGAATCCAGGAGGTCATGGGGTTCTGACTTTCCCTGGAGGCATGTTTTGGCTGTAAGCTTGGTGAACCGATGCTGTTGCAGCTCTCGGTGCCTGCACTGAATTTGGCACCCTCCTCTTTAGAATGCCCACTGTATTTTCAATAAAAAAAAATGATGCCTTGAAAACTTTGGATGGCATTTCCCTGAAGTTTGCCTGAAAACAGCATAAAGCATACGGCCCCTTACAAACGTACAAACACCTCATGCTTAGCAACTGAGCGACCAGAGTGAATCCCCTGAAGTGGAGGCCGTCAGTTAATTAAAGACGATGAATGAAATGTTATCTAGATGCTTATAGCTCCAGCAAATACTGTAACTACATGCAAAATTTACATCTGTAAAACTTTCTAAAGACTTAACTTCATAAAAGTTTCCTGTGCAGCTCTGGTCTGCAGAGAGACATGTCTGAGGCCATCCATGTCTTTCCTTTCTTTGTTTTACTATTTGGAATAATTAAGATCTTACTAAATGCCATCACTTTCACAAATCTAGGCTTCTCTCTTAACCTTAGTTATTGTCATTTCTGTACCAATACAGGGCAGCAGCACTGGATATTTAATGAAATAGAAAATATTTCTACAGATGTTCTTATATTGCAGTGTTGGATAGATTTGTAGGTACTGGCCACTCAGCCTCAGCCCCGAGGCCCTGGAGTCCTGGGGAAGTCACCTTTAGCTGACAGCTCCCTCATCTGGAAGGTTAAGCATTACCCCAACATGTCCAATAAGTCCTGCAACATTCCTTTTTCTTATTTTTTTGACAATTTGATATTTTTACACTTAAAGGCTGATGAAAAACCATTTCTAATCCTATTAAAGAAAATTAATATTTCAATTGAAAAGCTTATGCTAACTATATTTACTTTTGAATATTATTTAAGTTTTTTAAAGCACAACTTGCAAACATTCAGCATGCATGTTTAATTTTAGAACAATGGACCAAGTATACGTATTGCATGCGTAAAAGCTAGATTACAAATTATCACATCATCATCACGTTCACTTTTTATTTCAATGCATTTGATGATCTTGTCATGACATCATATTATGGTGATAAGAATGTTTTGGACCCCATCACAGATGGATTAATCAGAGCGTTCTGAGGTACTGATGTTGCAGGAACTTCTGCTTCTATAGCTGGGGACTGGGAAGCAGGCCTCTGTACCATAGAGCTGGGCCTTGTGAGGGAAATTGGAGTCTCTATTTAAGTCGAAAACAGACACAGTTTAGGGGTCTATTTTGGTTTGGGGGTTTTGGTTTTGATGTGCCTTGTCTACCAGTAGCTGAATCAACACTTAACCAAGGAACTGCTAATTTTCCTGCAGAAGTAGATGTCTTTTTCTGTAAAGACTTAATTAAGTTTATAGTTTGGGGCTGTTAAGCAGTATCCATCAGGTGGCAATCTAGGACCTGACTACAGCAATGACAAACGGTTTTAATTTCTTTGTCTTGAAATATCTAATAAACTTCTGGGGGAGGAGAGGGAAAAGACTGGTCAGCACGGACACTGGATTGCCAGTCAAATTTTTGAGTCATCAGTATTTTGCTCACACTGCAGAAGGCAAACTTCGATATCTGACTTATAAGTCTCGGCTTATAGTCTGTGACCTCCAAATCCCTCAGGATTGGTGCCGTCGTCTGTGTGTCTTTTGGCATGCTCTTGGCAGAAGCCACCATGCCAGACCCCGGATGTCCGTGATCAGACTTCTCGAGCTACAGCATCCATATTAATATATTTCAATCCTGATCTTGGTGCGAGTCCTTTGTACAGTATGCTTATCCACCCCTGGTGTACTGATAAGCAGGATGTTCAGAAGCAGCATGGTCCACAGCACAACGGCTCTGAGCACCTCCCTGCGATATCCTATGTGACTGTGATGGAAAAAGTTGGGACAGCTCTGCATGAGAAATGGAGTAACTTTGTTAACCACAGTACCCTATTCCCTATCCAAATAGGAAAATAGAACTTCTTATATATCCACTGGGGACAGTTTACATCTATTTTTCTACTGGTATTTTAAAGGATTTTTATTATACAGGAATTCTCAACATTGAGGTGGAAAAGGCAGTTGTCATAAAATATACCATATATGGGTTTTTTTGAGACAGAGTCTCACTCTGTTGCCCCAGGCTAGAGTTCTAGGGCATTAGCCTAGCTCAGAGCAACCTAAAACTCCTGCGCTTAAGTGATCCAAGCAGCTAGGACTACAGGTGCCCGCCACAATGCCCAGCTAGTTTTTCTATTTTTAGTAGAGATGGAGGTCTCACTGTTGGTTAGGTTAGTCTCAAACTCCTAAGCTCAAGCAATCTTTCCCCGCCTCAGCCTCCCGCAGTGCTTGGATTTACAGGCATGAGCCACTGTACCTGGCCCATCTTGCATTATTTTTGACTTGGAAATATGTACAGTAAAAAATCCTGAATACTCTCAGGTTATCCTTCTCAATAAGAAGTCTAATAGATAATTGAAGGTTTACACACTTTCCTATTTCTTTATGCAGATCTTTATCAAATATCCTAAACAGTTGTCACAAGCACTTTGCAATCTAGCAAGGAAACACATTAAATAATCAAAAGTGTGATAAATGCTGGTTACAAAGGAAAAGTTTAGGGTGTGATCAAAAGATATACCAGTTACGCCTAACCCACTTGTTTCTTCATCTTCTTCCTAGTGTCCTCCAGGACCTAAACCGGTTCTTATAAATATTACCTATGTTTTTCTTTCTTTTTCTTTCCTTTTTTTTTGAGACAGAGTCTTACTTTATCACCCTCAGTAGAATGCCGTGGCGTCACAGCTCACAGAAATCTCAAACTCTTGGGCTTAAGTGATTCTCTTGCCTTAGCCTCCCAGTAGTTGGGACTACAGGCACCCACCAACCCCTGGCTATTTTGGGGTTTTTTCGTTATTGTTGTCATTGTTGTTTAGTAGGCCCTGGCTGGGTTCGAACCCACTACCTTAGTGCAGGTGGCTGGCATCCTAACCACTGAGCTACAGGCACCGAACCATGTTTTTCCCTTGGGAAGATTTTGATTTCATCTCTTCCAAATGTGAAGCAAGACTAATCAATTCTTGCTTCCAACTAAAGAAAACCAACTCCTGAAGCACTGATGAGTGAATGAATTTTACTGCAGATTTTCATGGGGAAGACAGAGGATAGGGTTAAATTACATACTACACAGCAAACTATTTAATGACAATCCCCACTAAAAGTTTCTCATCTCCATCCCTCTCCTTGCTAATACTGCTCTGGCCAGTGGAAGAGCTCCCTCTGTCATGACCTTAGTGCCCACTGTCTTATAATTATCAGCACAATCGTGTCAGCCCCAAGTCAGACAGACCACAAGGAGCTATTGAAGCAGATAGTCGGGGCTGACAGTTTGGAGGGTAGCTCTTTCCTCAAGTGCAGCCAGTTCAGAAAAGAGGACAGTGGGTAGCAGGCATGGCAGTGGGTAGGAGCCACACAGCAGCCTGGCTGATGGAGACTAGGGGTGACCACAAAGAAAGCCGCAGCAGGTGACAAGGAGCAGAGAGGCAGGACAGGAAAGTGAAGCTGGCGACCGATCACAGAGAGGAGCGCGGGCGAAAGAGATCTCTGCCTCCTGGGGAACAGCGAGGCATGTGGGTCCCAGGGCCCACCAGAGACGGGAAGCACAGGGGTTTAGCAATCCATCGTCAGTTCTCTCAGGCTGACTTCTACATCATCTACGTTGGTGTCTGCTCTTCCTGGAGTGCACCAGACGTGTGAAAAGAAGGCAGGAGGCCTCTTTGTCTACCCTGCCCCACCCAGCTTTTAGCCTGTGAAGTAATTACAGTATCTCCCAATTTCTCTATCCTGACACATCATTTAGCCTGGCAAGCAAAGAACCCACAAATTACCTGTATTCACCTTTCTTAGAAAGCATTTAAAAGTTTGTAAATAACAAATACATTACTAATGTCTCAAATAGTATTTTTCCAGGTCACATACGCAACAGGAACTATGTGGGTAGAAATTTTTTCCTGGCTCATCCACTAGTTTAATATCGACTTTAATTTCTAGAGTCAGGCACGTCTCTCCCGTGCTGGTACTTACAGACCCTACACTGTGTCCTTCACCCCCCCTCTTCCTAAACAGGCCACTGTTCAGACTGCCACTGGTCAGCGTGGACTCGGGATTGCCCGTCAAACCTCGCCTGCATCAACGGCAGCTGTCTCAGCATGACTTGAATACATTTTTGTTGTTTTTATATCAATAAATTTATTTCTTATTTTTAACTACTTGTCTAAATGATGAATGCCACTTGAATTTTAATTTTATATTCCAGGTCCCTAGTTTTCCATCAGGACTGATACATTAAGACACTCCCCCCCCCTTTTTTTTGTTAGGTAAGAAAAATAGCTAATCTTAAATATAAAGCTGTATACAAAACCTTTTGGTTTCTCTTGTGCAAGAATAAATGTGGCTTGAAATGCCAGGCTATTTTCTCTGCCTACAAAGTAGTTTGATGCTCTCATCAAACAAAATAATTCTATAGTCCACAAAGTAACCAACCAGAAGCCCAGAACACCTCCAAGAAACTTCTAGAGAGTTGATTACCCCTTCCCTGTGCTAACTCTGAACTTCACGTATCCTCTGATACGCTCTTAGGCATTTATTTTTATGACAATTTCTCCTGCTGACCTGACAGTTCCTGAAGTTGATAGTGTCATGTTCAGGTTATGTTTTGCTGTTATGACTACAGTGCATTTGCTAGAAAAAATGGGTCAAAGTTTACACTGAACCAATGGTCAATGGTAATAACCTTGTACCTTCATTGTGGCCATTTGGTGAGTTTTTTTCCTTTTACTATTGCAATATGGCCAGAACATTGGATAATTACATCATATTTTAAAAACTCGACTCTTTACAGATACAAATGTTCCCAAAAGACTTCCTTGATATATTAACAACTTTCACCTGGGTATTTTGAGATCCACAAGTCTACAGTTGAATAGTTGATCAATAAGCACCAAATTTTCTTCTTCCAGTTGTTGAATAGTATGTTCTAATTCTTCAACTTCTTTCCTGTGAATTGCAACCTGTTCTCAGAAGAGAGGAATAGAGAGATGTTGGCACCTACGGTTTAGTTCTATTAAGTCTTCTATAATAAATTCAACTCGTAAAAGTTCATTTGCCTAAGGGGAAGATCTATCGTGTATTATTTATTACTGGGTTTGCTTGCTTTGTCCTTCCTCTATAAGAAGGGATGGATGGGACACCTTTCTAGATCAGCAGAACTTGTTTGCATGATAAGGCAGTTATTACAGGATAGCAGGAGTTGTCTTTTTCTACTCTTCAAAAACACTGTTGAACCTATGTATGACTTAGAAACAGAGATAAATAAGGAAATATGGTGGATTAACGTAACAATATGGCATATTAGTAGCTAAATGTGAACACATCTAATTGTACTTACAAACAATACAACAAAGACTAATAACACTGGGAAAATGCTATCTTTTTGATGTAGTTTAAAGATGAGATGCATGGGTCCAGTAGTCCGTTGTATCGGCCTCTGTAATACAGTTATGTCCTCTGTCAGTGCTAGATAGTTCTGAGAACTGTCAGGGAGATAAAATATTGTTTGTTCACCCATTCATTGAATTGTTTTGTACGACTACTATCAGCCAGAAACTACATTACATGTTGGGAACAAAGGATCAATAAGACACAGTAACTTTCAAAGATCTCATAGCTTACTGGGAAAGAGGGTTATGGAAACAGAAAACAATGTGATAAAAACAACAGTGGAAACTGTCCAGGCGCTGTGGGAGGAGAGAGGTTCACCCTATTTCTGTTACGTGTCAAGGGATACGGGAGAATTAATAGAAGAGAGGGCTTCTATTCTGGATCTTGAAAGGCAAGTAGGAATTCCCTGGGCAGACACGAGAGGGTGTAATCTAGGCGGAAGCAACCACACGTGCAAAGGTGCAAATATTTTTCCATGCATAGACCCACAGTGGGAGTGGGGAGACGCAAGAGAGGAACTAGATAATTAGGGAAGAGCCAAATAATATTTGCTCACGAGTCTGGTTTTTTCCCTGGAGGTCAGGGGTGTCCAGGCTTTTGGCTTCTCTGGGCCATGTTCTATTTTAGAATTTTGAAGCATTCAGCATATTACCACATGCATAGCTCTATCACATAGCCATTTATTAAAGGCCTGAATTCTTGTTATGGGGAAAGTTCTGAGCTAGATGTAGGATACAAAGGTGAACAAGCCATGGCTTCTTCCCTAAGTGAGTTTATAATCCAGTGAACAAAAGCACAAATAATTGTAATATAAAACAACACCAGTGTCATAGAAAAGACTTAGTATTGCTGGTGCCTTGGACTTAGGAAAAAAACATACATTAGTTACCTACCTCCAACAATTTAGCAAAACCATTTAAGCCAATAATGCAAAGCTACGATTTGGCATTTTAGGACCTCATATGTGAGACATAATTAACCTGATTACAAGCTTGAATGGCTTTAGGAAAAGTTTGTGATTTTTAAATGTCAAAGGATGAGAAATAAAATTATAGTTAGAGGTTGTAAACAGGAGGAATTAATAGACCATTTGGAAATATTTGACCTAAGGGCTTGGCATGCTTGGGAGACAGCACACACAGTTCTTGGTCTCTTTCCAAAACTGGGAATGAGGCCCTTTTGGGGACTTTCATCACATCTTTCAGACTAATGATATCCTATGACCTCACCTACCCCCTGAGAGTATTAAGTTATATTCTCTTCAATTGTTGTCTCCCTCTTGATCTTTTGCAATGTTAAAGGAAATTAAAAAACTAGTTTTTTTTTTAATAATCATTAAAAAGAATTTGGATTTCTGGGGTCAGAAGGAGAAAAGGAAGAAAAAGTGGAAGAGCACATTTCCCTTCCCATGACAGCACCCCCATATCCAAAAAACACACATAGGTATTGCAAAAGATGATTCAGTTAAAACTAGTAGAGGTCTTGGCCTCTGTATGTTCTTATTCTATGTTCTATTCTATGTTCTTATATACATGTTCTTGACATTTTCTCCAGAAAGCTCTAAATTAGTTTTATGCCTCCCCAACTTAAAACTCTGATTTATAATTTCTTTGATTCCCTTTGTCTAGTTTCTCTGAATTTCCATTTGTTAAGTTAGTCTCAATCACTGGAAAATTGTAATTTTCTCCATTTTCTAGTAAAATGCTAAAGGAGGCCAGAGAAAGAAGATCCTGCAAGAGAAGATCCCAGAGCTCTGAGTTTCAGTGATTGTTGAGAGATAAATAGACATTCCCAGGAGTTCCACTATTAAATTCCCCTTGTTACTCATTCTAAATCTTCCCCAAAGAAATTAATTGACTTACAATGTTCTGTTTCTAGGCAATTTTAAATTCTTGGGATAATACTTATAACCATAAATAGTTTTAATTAATTTTGTGAATAAATTTAATAATGTTAAAATGAATATTTATGGAAATACAGAGAAACTGTCTGTTGAATTTCCTTAAAATAGTTTTTCCTTTATTGCAAAGCTCTTTTTTGCTCATGACTAAAGTTTTTTTTCTGTCTTCTGTTTCCATTGAACTGTGGAAAGTAAAAAAATAAAATAAAATAAAACATACTTTATAGCTTTAGTAGGGCAAGTCAAGTCACCAAAACAGCCCTTCTTATCAAATATAAATTTTTATAGTCATTTTCTCTAAGATCTATGTCATTTTATAAAAGTAGAATTGTTAAGTTACTATGATTAACATTATACTGTTGTAATTGGTGGGACCACACCTACAGTGCATCTTACAAGGGTACATGTGAAATTTATTAGGTGTAGAATATAAATGTCTAAACACAGTAACTAAGAAAATGCCGTGAAGGCTATGTTAACCAGTTTGATGAAAATATTTCAAATTGTATATAAAACCAGCACATTGTACCCCATGATTACATTAATGTACACAGCTATGATTTAATTTAAAAAACTAAAAAAAAGATTATACTGTTGCATTTATTAAAAGTATAAGAACTAAATATCTTCTTAATAGTCCTTAACTATTGAGTTCACCTCAAGTTTTTTAAATTGTAAATATCTTTCTTTAAATTAAGGATTAGAAAAACTAAAACAAAAAAACCTAAAAAACCAGTAAATTGGGGACATATGCAATTAGTTTTGAGAGGTAGTATGAACTCCTATTCACTATGACTTTACAAAAGCAATTTAAAGATAATTGTCAATTATTATAGAGAGTGTATGTATGTATGTATGTATCGAGACAGAGGGCTAGAAGGCAGTGATATCATCACAGCTCACTGCAACCTCAAATTCCTGGACTCAAGCGATCCTCCTGCCTCAGCCTCCTGAGAGCTGGGACTGTAGGCACGTGCCACTACATCTGGCTAATTAAAAAAAAATCTTTTCTCTCACCTTTGTTCATGCTGGTCTCAAACTCCTGGCTTCCCATAGTGCTAGGATTACAGGCCTGAGCCCCTGTGCTCAGTCTAGAAGATGACTTACTAAAATCCTTGTTTCCTGGATTCATTATCTGTTTTCAGTCAAATAGGGAGCAAGGAAAGGCAAGAGCAGAAGCTGACGGCAACGTTTTTATCTTGGGTTTCTGGGCAGGTGGTGAGAAAGGAAATGTAGGAGGAGAAAATTTGAGAAGAAATTTAATGAGTTCTGTCTTAGGTATGTTGAGTTGGAAGTGTTTTGGGGACATCCATGTGGAATATTTGGTAGGCAAATAAAAATATAGGTCCAGGGCTGAGAACATGTACAAGTTTATTCTGAAGATGTGCTTAAGAATATCTTGCTAAAAAGAGCTGCATGTAGATGAAGTTCTCTCAAAAGGCAGTGACTTTCATTTCATAGATGGTGTTTAAGCACAGGTTGGGAGGCTAATTGTTTGGATGTAAAGGGAATGTCAAGTAGAATGGGGATCAGGCTGGATAAAATTAAGAAACTCCTGTCCTTGGAAACCAGTAATACCGAGGCTGCTGAGAAACAGAGTTGAGGACTCCCTATTACCTACTTTGAATAGGTAGAGTCCAAATTTCTCTGCAGGGCATGCAAAGTGGGCCTGACCCGCTGCTCCAGGAGAGGGCTTTCGTGCTCCCCAGTACCTCTAAACTGATTGGAGAGTCAGTCACCGAAAGGTTTTAAGCAGCCGACTACCATGAGCAGGTCTGTGTTTTACAAAGATGACTCTGAGGCAGTTTGAAGGAGATAGGGAAGTTTCCGGTCTGCAGGGAGGAAAACCAGATCAGACCTATTGAAAGATCTGGGTGAGAGATCCTAAGGCCTGAACAATGGCAAGGAAGGTAAGGAGAGGTGGTCAAAAGTAAATTGATGGGACCTGGAGGCCTTCTGGGTTCGAGAAGTGAAAAGGGCATTTCTCGAAATACAGCTGACCCTTGAACAACATGTGTTTGAATTTCACTTGTACACCGTGAAATCTACTTGTACACAGATTTTTTTCAATCAAATGATGATTGGAAATGGGGTATTCTCAAGATGAAAAACTTGTGCATATGAAGGGTCAGATTTTTATACACAGCGTTCAGCAGGGCAGACTGAAGGATTTGAGTATGCACAGATTTTGATATTGGTGTGTGTCCTGGAATCAACCTCCCAGTACACTGAGGGACGACTTTCTGATTTGGGTGACTATATAGCGGTAGGATCCTTAATTGGGACAGATAGCACAGCAGAGGCAGTTTTGAGAAAAAAGGAAGTCCATTTAAGAGTTTGAGATGGCTGTGGCGTGTGGTGTGTTTAGGTGGAGTTGCACAACTGGTTGTTGAATATGTGGGTTTGGATCCCAGAAGTGAGATTTGCTTCAATCTGGACAGGATGCTTTTTAGGCTTACAACAAAATTATCATCCTTAAACATTTCTTTCCTAGTACATTGGGAAGTATGCTGTTTTCTGTGTGCAAGGAAACTGTAAAACAAGACCCAACCTCTCCAAATGAGATGGGCTCCCTGTAGCTAATGGAGATGCTCTTATATATATATATATATATATATATTTTTTTTTTTTTTTTTTTTTTGAGACAGGGTCTCTTTACAATGTTACTCAGACTAGAGTGCAATAATGTGATCATAGCTCACTGCTCACTATATGCCACCATGCTTGGCTAATTTTTAAAATTTTTCTTTTATAAAGAAAGGGGTCTCACTATGTTGTCCAGGTTGGTCTTGAATCCTGGCCTCAGGTGATCCTCCAAGCTCAGCCTCCCAAGCACTGAGCTTATAGTCATGTGCCATCATGCTGGGCCAGAGATGTTCTAAGTTTAAAAGTAGAACCAGGCAACCATAGCAGAATGAGAAAGAACAGCCTTAGGTTCTCATAAAAAGGAGTTCTTGATAAACATGCGGCTTTACACCCTTGATTCAGAACAGATCCTGTAACCAGTGGAGCCAGTATAAACTGTGGCTGGGACCACCCCCACTCCACCACCAGCACCATCACCTGTAGCCATTTCAGAGAAACATCTGAAAGAGACTTCTGGCTTGGGGTTAGGAAACGCCTAACCAGAACTCAACTATTTTGACCAGGCAGAATGGGAAAAGGTTGAATCCTTTGTTTGCATAAACAAACCTGATTGAGAACCTGGAGAGAATTTTCCCTGTGTATGCCAGACAGTCCTTTTGTTCTTTGGGAAATACACTTTCACTTGTACTGAAGGCTGTGCCTTTCCAAGTTGCAGATTATTTTTTAATAGAAAAGAAAAGCCCTCCCTTTCATTAACATCTATTTTTCTTTTACTCAGTTTACCTTCTTGTTTTGCTAAATTGTGTTAAGTAAATTCCTGAAAAAATTTGAATATTAAATATTGTGAGCATTTCTTAAAACAGCTTTATTCTTGTCCTAAATCTAAGTTAGCTGACTATAGAATTCTAAGTTGAAAATAATTTTCCATCTGAATCTGGCTATTGAAAAATTGAATGCCAATTTTGTTCTAATTCACTTGCAGTTGGTTATTCATCAACTCTTACCAGAAACTTTTAGGATTTTCCTGTGTTCCTAGAGTTCTAAAAGATCATGTCCTTTTAGCATCCAGAAGTTTTTTTCTATTATTTCAATGATGATTTTCTTCCCTCTGCTTTTGCTATTCTTTTTTCATAGAATTACTATGTATTAGTTAGATATTGAAGACCTTACATTAGAACTCTATATCTCTTATTTTTCCTCTCCCTTTTTTTTGTACTGTCTGTCATCTTCCATGTTGTGAGAGTGTTCTCTGTTTTCTATTTTATATTTGATTTTTCTCTTAAAGCCTACTTTTATAAATAGGCTCACATCTCATATATATATTTATTTATTTAAGATTCTATGATTTTCAGATTTATTTTATTACATTAATTGAAGACCTTTCATTCCCCTAATTTTTTTCTGTTCCTTCTAGAAAGAAGATTATATTAAAACCTTTGTTAATTATTTATGCTGTAAAACGCTCCCACAGCCGCGTTACCACAGGCTCACGCCATCTGCTTTACCTCACGCTCCCACACCCGCTTTACCACACGCTCCCACATCCGCTTTACCTCATGGTCTCACATCTGCTTTACCTCATGCTCTCACAGCCGCTTTACCTCACGCTCCCACATCCGCTTTACCTCATGCTCTCACATCTGCTTTACCACACGCTCCCCGCATCGCTTTACCACACGCTCTCACATCTGCTTTACCTCATGCTCTCACACCTGCTTTACCACACGCTCCCCGCATCGCTTTACCACACGCTCTCACATCTGCTTTACCTCATGCTCTCACACCTGCTTTACCACACGCTCCCAAATCCGCTTTACCACACACTCTCCCATCCGCTTTACCTCACGCTCCCGCATCTGCTTTATCTCATGCTCTCACATCGGCTTTACCTCATGCTCTCACATCTGCTTTACCTCATGCTCCCACACCCGCTTTACCACACACTCTCCCATCCGCTTTACCACACACTCTCCCATCCGCTTTACCTCTCGCTCCCGCATCTGCTTTACCACAAGCTCTCACATCTGCTTTTTGTCTTCCTGAAAATTGTTGAAATCTCACCTGCTAGTTAACTCCCCCTTATTGTCTTCATAAATAATTTCTTTTTCATACTTCTATAATTTCATTTCAATAGGTCTTCAGGAGAGATGAGATTTATGCTGTAATTCTGCCATCTTGAATACAGCATAAATAATTCACAAAGGTTTTAACATAATTGCTTCCTTCACCCAGGATCTAAGCTATTTATTTGATTCATCCCTTCAGTGAGTATACTATATTCATTGATATTCACTCATCCAATAACTACTGAATGAGCCTAGATTAAGAAGACAGGTGCCAAAACAGGCAATTTCAACCTATTTTAGCAAGAGTTGCAATGAAGCAAGAGAACACTGAGGGAGACTTCTTGGGGGAGTTACAAAATGATTCACAAGGAGATTGACAATCAAGTCCATGCCTGAAGGAAACAGTTGGAGTTTTTTAGGCAAATGAGGGTAGGGAGGTGAGTTGGTGAGGGCAAAGGAACCAGTATGTACAGTGTTAAGGAAAGAAGGACAGTGCCTCATAACAAACAATGACCTGGCTGAAAATGTCATCATTGCAGAGATTGAGAGACCCTACTCGAGAAGTCCCCATTTGACTATATAGCGCTAGTTTAGGGAGTCCAGCAATTACTTTATGCTCATGAGGAGGCATGAAGAGCACCTAAAAATCAAGCTGGGACGAGATGAAGTCTGCAATGGGCAGGGACACTTTGCCAGAGGCAAAGTTTGGAATTGGCTGCAACACAATGTCAGAAAGGCCAAAGCATTTTAGAAGTCATCAGTGCAGGGAGCAGAGTGCAGCACTTTCTCCACGGCCGAAAGGCAGCGGGGGCAAAGATGCAAAGGAAACCCCATGAATATGAATCCTCTTTAACTATACACCCATGAAAGGCCATGTAAGCCCTTCTTCCAAGGGCCCGTCTTGGAGAAGAGCAGGGAGGAGGGCAGAATGCCTAAAAGACTGAACCCTTATCCAAAGGAGACCATGTCACTTCTAAAGGGCAATTTAAATCAGTCAAGAATGAAGTTAAAATGATCCTTTAGCCTCACCCTCATCCACCAGGAGGAAGCACATTAATGAAAAAGACCAAATCCATTTCAGAACATAAAGAAACTTCGCACTGTGTGAATTGTAAACCCTCATTATTTCTGGTTATTAGTGAGGTTATTTCTGGTATGTGTTGAGTGACTGCTTGTAATAAGGTTAGGATTCCACTTGAATCTCATCTTATCTCAGTTGGTCATATTGCCATGCTTTCCCCATAGCTTCAGTTCATAATTAAAGTCACCTTCAGTTCCAAAAAATGAGAAAGAAGAAATAGCTTATTTTGACAAATTCCACTTACTTCGTTTTTTAGCCAGTCATTCTCCCAGATCGCTCGATAGCTGCTCTTGTCAATGAACTTTACAGCATTCTAAAAAAAAGTTTCTGTATTGAGGAAGAGTTAGTTCCCTCATGGTGATGTACAGTTTTAGCAATGGTGATGCATGATATGTTTAAAATTTAAAATTGTTTTAGAAATTACTCTGGGAACATACCCAAGAACTTCTGATTCAGTTCTTCATTCTTTACTACCTTACTACATTATTTTTGCTGAGTTATATGAAAACAGATGATTGGGAGAACTGGACAATGTCTAGCTTCCCCTTCCATTGGCCTCCACTGACTGAATCTGACTACCACGAAGAAGTCATCCCAACAATCTGCTGCACAATTAAGATGGTGAAATGGGGATGAGCAGACATTCTTTAGGTTTATAGTAACGGACATAATCCAACATCTGACAATTAAGTTTGCAAACTCACTCTAGAAAAAGTGCTGTATACCTCATTGTTGAATATCACTATGGTTACCTTTGACTTACTCCCCTTGGGAGGCAATGCATTGGTGCCAGTGCCCAGTCCACCCTTCAAAACAATTTTTCAGGAATGACCATAAGAGCTATCATCATATGGGAGGCTGAGGCAATAAGATCACTTGAGCCCAAGAGTTTGAGGTTGTGGTGAGCTATGACACCATGTTACTCTACTGAGGTTGATAAAGTAAGACTGTCTCAAAAAAAAAAAAGTTTTAGATTTTGGAGCATTTCAGATTTTTGGATGCTCAACCAATAGAATACAAATATTCTAAAATCTAAAAAATTTGAAATCTGAAATACATTTCAGATGAGGGATACTCAACTGTATTATACTTAGGAAATAACTGAATAACAGTTCACTGAGCTCTTGCTTCCTTGGAGACACTATGCTATTTACATCAGTCATCCCCCACACTATCTCTTTAAGGTAAAATAGATTACACTCGCTTTACAGACTAGGAAACAGGCAGAGAAAAGTAAGAAATTTTGTCATAGAGTCAGTAAGTAGAAGAACTGCAATTTAAACTCAAGCTGTCTACTATTAGAACCCAAGTTGGCATCAGAGCTCACAGCAACCTCAGACTCTTGGGTTTAAGCGACTCTCTTGCCTCAGCCTCCCAACTAGCTGAAACTACAGGCGTCTGCCACAACAACCGGCTATTTTTGGTTGCAGTTATCATTGTTTAGCTGGCCCTGGGCTGGGTTTGACCCTACCAGCCTTGGTGTACGTGGCTGGCTCTGTAACCACTGTCCATGGGCACAGAGCCAAGAACCCAACCTCTTAACCACTATAACATATCCAAATAAAAATTGGAGAAAATGATTTTTTGTTTTTTAAGAAAATTCAAATATACCTGTGTGGCCCATTCCTTCTTTTGGTCCAGTTGCAACAAAGTTTCTCTGATTATTTTCTTTCTAGTATCTTCCAGAGTGGTTTTATAGTGTTCTTTAAAAAGAAAATTAGAAGCCTTAACAAGGCTGATGGTAGGTAAAACCATGATGTTAGTAAATTTGATCTGTCATCATAACCTCTCCTTTCCACACATTTTGTCTGAATTTTCAAGGCACATTTTTACTGAAGAATCTAGTTCCTCCAATTAGAAGAAATGTTTTAATAATTTACTAACACCTTAATGTGAATTAGTTTAAGATTTCTCTCCCAAGAATTCTGTATTTTCAAAGGACTGTTGCTCCAAGGGGGAATTTCGAACACTTCACTATCTGTGTAGCAGTCTATTCTTCTATTATACAACTTAGGATTCTGCAACAGAAATATAAAGATTTTATTATCTGCTTGAGTACATCCTATACATCTAACTCAATTTAACTAGATTTCCACTATTTTTAGCATGTGTTTCATGGAACAGGAAAGGCAGAATGAAGAGAGAAGAGTGAGGAGAGAGTAAGGGGGCTGGGAAAGTCAGGAGACCTGGTTCTACGTTAGGGTCACGGCAAAAAAAGAAGGTGGTGATGAAGTGTAAGAGTCTTTGTCTTATCCAGATTTCCATGTCTTCCCTTTCCTTTCCCCTCCACCAGCCCTCCCCTTCCCCTTCCCTCCCCTTTCCCTCTTCCCCTTCTCCCTTCTCTTCCTCTTTTGTTCCCCTCCCCTTCTCCTCCCTTCCCCTTCCCCTCTCCCCCCCACCTTCCCTTCCCCTTTTCTTCCCCTCCCCCTTCCCCTCCCCCTTCCTTTCCCTTAGGGTAAGGTCTCACTCTGTCATGAAGGCTAGAGTAGAATGGCAACATCATAGCTCACTGCAACCTCCAGCTCCTAAGCTTAAGCAGTCCTCCTGCCTCAGCCTCCCAAGTAGCTGAGATCATAGGCATGTTCCATACCCAGGTAATCTTTTATTTTTTGTAGAGATTGGGTCTTGCTCTTGCTCAGACTGGTCTCAAACCCCTGGCTTCCAGTGATGCTCGTATCTCAGCCCTCCAGGGTACTAGGATTACAGGTGTGAGCCACCCTACCAGGCCCCTCTCCAGCTTTTCTTATGTTTGTAAATATCATAACTGAGTCAGCAAAGAATACAAAATTTCAGGCCTTCAAGGATCTTAGAGATCAGATAATCAATACCCCTTTTTAAGGAAAATGAAGCACTGTGATAGTTCAGCTGCTTTAGAGAGTAGAGAGACATAAAGCTGGATGATCAAGTCCAGTTCGCTCATTCCTTTTCTCAACAAATAATTATCGAGATGTTTGCATATGTCAGACACTATTGAAAACAGTGGGAACACTGCTGTAAGACAGACAAAACCCTGTGATATGTACATTCTAATGGGTAAGCTAGACCATAAATTAATACATGGGTAAAGAAGTACTATTTCAGGCGGTGATGTAAGTGATGAAGAAACCCTAAAATTTTCTATTTTAGATAGGGTGAGCGGAGAAAGCTTCTTTGAAGAGGTGATGTAGGAAGGTAGTCGACTAACAATGCGAAATGGGAGGGAACTGTGCTAGTCCCAACCAGATAGCAGCGAATGATCGAGGTTAGTTGTGCCTTATGATAACATCTGTGTTACCTGTCCCCACTGTGCTTTATTTGTAACATATGCAGAACAATTGTTTGGAAATCAGAATCCCATATAAATGATGTTGAAAATCATGCTTTGTAGATTTCTAGACATGTCCACAGAGACCCATTTACCTTATTCTGTGACCAAACAATGGTATTGTATTAACAGTGCCGTAGAACCGCTCTTCTGTTTAGAACATTGTCTCACAGGGAAAATTTTCTTCATACAAGGCAAGCAAAGCAGAACTCTAAGAGATCTTTCACTGGGACAGGAAATCTGTAGGCCTGGTCTTTCAAAAGACCAGCAACGAAAGCAAGGTGGCCACTGTTGGGACCAGAGGCCCGGAGAGTGGGGTGAGAGTCATCAAGCTGCGTCTGTATTTGGTGCAGGCGTAACCGTTTCCGCTGTTAGATGAAAAATCTGAGAGCAGAAAGTCAAAACTTCCCTTCTGCATTTTCTATTACGTATCCGTGGGACACAACAGATATTGAAGAATATTTTTGAAGAAAATTAAATTTGGCAGACTGTTAAGTCTTTGCTGGACAGTGACCTGCGGCTTCAGCCTCAGTGTAGCACGCAGAGCAAGCAGCCAATGTTGGCTCTTCAGGGGCAGCTTTAATGTGAAGGAGAAGGGAGAGTAAAAGGAGAAGAGAATTCTCCCAAGTCATGAAGTAGACAGAGAAGGGGGTCATGAGGGGGGAGGTTCTGCCCCTAATAGAGTTGGACAAGAGCGCCGGAGGCAGTCATCATAAACAAGAGGTCAACAGCTTTTGAGAGCTAGTCTCTCTTAACATCTGGAGAATAAGAAACAGAAGTGTTATTATTCTAACCTACATATTCTCATCTATATAACTTGTGTTTTTCTTACTTTCATTTGAAGTAATCCCTTGAATATTTTAATCATTCCAATCTCATTTCCTATGGAATTTCTTTTTCAATTTCACCCTAGTGTCCTAGCCCATTAGGTTAATGTTAGTTATTTATTTGAAACTTCTACCTGACAAAACACAACAATCAGAAGGTTGCAATGGATAAGGAGTTTCTCTATAATGGATTTTACATTCTTAGCATCTGAAAGAAACCACAAAACCCGGACTTTGGAAACATTAAATATTAATTCTTTGCTGTAAATCATAAAAAATAGATTACCAAATACGCACTGGCTAAATTGTAGCTCTCCTGATGGCCATATTAATGCTGAAAGAGCAATATTGACATCTGACCCTGTTCCAAATTTCATAAAAAATTCTATGGACAGTTTTTCTTCTTTAAAGCAGGGTAGCCAGCACAAGGGTTAATGTGAAAATCTCACTGTTATCCTCTGCGATTCAGAGGAAGCTTCTAGTAACCACTGTTAACCATTCATTTGTGAATGTAGCAAAAGAAAATAGGGGCATATAAAAGTTTGAGAAGTGGGAGCTTGGGAAATTATGACCTCGTGCAGTAAGACTCCTTTCTTCTCAGATGTCCAGTTCAACGTGGTCACTTCCCAGAAGCTGATCCAAACCGCACTGGCCCAGGCCTGTATTGTATTGATCTGCCTTCCTGCTGTGCCTGGCTCTGTTTGGTGTATTCTTCCGCAGCCGGCTGGGAGTCTTGCTATCCACCCTTGTCACACATCTTCCCTGTGCCAACCCACTCCTGGGGTGGTGGTCTCCTTTAGGCTCCCTCTAAAGCAGTGGTTCTCAACCTTCCGAATGCTGCGGCCCTTTAATACAGTTCCTGTGGGTTACGACCCACAGGTGGAGAACCGCTGCTCTAGAGAAAACTGAGCAGGGGCCGTGGAAATGATGGCCAGGTTGCAATCTCTTCAGAGCCATCCCTAACTCACTGAATCACAGAGGTGGGAAGACTATTTGAAGAATATAGATTTGGGCTCTAACACACCTGGGTTCAAATCTCTGTTCTACTACTTACCAACTTTGTGGGTTTGGTTAAGGCAGTTAACTTCTCTGGGCCTGTTTTGTTATCTTTAAACTGAGCATAAATATATCTAACGCAAAGGAACTTATCAGGATTAGATGACCTCAGACATGGAAAAGCAGATGCTGAAAATGTGACTTCTGTTGGCAATCACCTAGGAACTCTCATTTTATAGATCATGAAATTAACATTCAAAGAAGTAATGCTACTTTTTTGTGAGTAGGTTTCTAAAACTCAATTCTTTTAACTTGCTATTAGTGTAAAAACAACTTTTAAGAATCCCTGTCCTGGCTTGGCACCCATAGTTCAGTTGTTAGGGCGCCAGCCACATGCCTTGGGGCCAGTGGGTTTGGACCCAGCCTGGGGCTGATAAACAACAAAACTATAGCTGGGCGTTGTGGCGGGCACCTGTAGTCCCAACTACCAAGGAGGCTGAGTTTGAGGTTGCTGTGTGAACTGTGATGCCACAGCACTCTACCAAGAACGACAAAGTGAGACGCTGTCTCAAAAAAAGAAAAAAAAAAAAAAGAATCCCTGTCCTGTGCTACTGGTGAAAGACAAAAATAAAATTTTTCTGTGACTGTAATTATCTAGTGACTTGTAACAACCTCAAACTTTCTCTACCCTGGGGCTAATCTAAGGTCCTCTTTCTATTTATTTATTTATTTATTGAGACAGAGTCTCATTATGTGGCCCTCAGTAGAGTGCTATGGTGTCTAGGCTCACAGCAACCTCAAACACTTGGGCTTAAGCCAGCAGTTCTCAACCTGTGGTTTGCGACCCCTTTTTAACAGTGAAAATACATCATGGCATTAGGAAGGTTGAGAACCCCTGGTTAAGCAATTCTCTTGCCTCCCCTACCAAGTAGTTGTGAAGAGGCTGTAGTAACTCCATTTTGTAATAAGCTCCATTCTGAACTTCAGGCCCTTCCAGGAAAAACCGCAAGCAGCAACACCAAGGGAGGGGACAGCCAACCCAGGTGGGGACAGCCTATCAGGAACAAACTGATAGGTTCCCTGGGCTAACCGCAAAATGGTCTCAGCCAATCAGAATGTGTAAAATGTTTTAAGGCGAGCCATTCAACCAATCATGTATTAAGCTATTACATTGTGTGGAAATCCCCCAAACAAGCTATAAAAGCCATCCCCAGCCCCGCTTCAGGGTCACCCCTGTGCAGCTATGCTGTCCAGTGGAGTGACCCCAGCATATGCTTGAATAAAGATGTGTGTACGGTGCTCTCTCAGCGGTGATTTCGGAACCGACAGTTGGGACTACAGGCACCTGCCACAATGTCCTGCTTTCTTTCTTTGTTTAGCAGGCCTAGCCAGGTTTGACCCCACCAGCCCAGGTGCGTGCGGTCAACGCTCTAACCACTGAGTTACGGGTGCCAAGCCAGGTCCTCTTTCCTTTTATTGAAGAAAAATAGGCTTGGCCTGTTTGTATCGGTGACTGCTTCCCATACTCAATATCCCAACATCTCCTTCTAATTAAAGTTCAGGGGAGCAGGTCTCAGCGCTGTCTCCTCCTGCCTCCAGGGCTTAGGGGTGGCTGCTGGGGACCAAGGAACAGTTCATGCAGGGGCTGACCAGTGACCCAAGAGGAGGCCTGGACAAAGATCTTTAATTATCTTTGATTAGGTGGATGAAGTTACCAGTTCTTTTCAGAACCTGGCCTGGAGAACACTGCAAGAACTGGTCTGCAGGAAACAAGAAAGGAATGGTGACAAGAACACCGAGCAAGGAGAGGTGCTGGGAAAGGGACAGTCCCAGACTGTGAGAGATGAATGTAGGGAGGAGCCATCCCCAGAGCAACCGCCGATGTGATGGCTTTCTGACTCTGCAGTCCTCCCATTACTCACTATATGTTATGTGCAACAAGCACGGCCTTGTTTGGGAGGCCAAACAACTTTATTCTTGTTACTTCCCTTTAAAATTCATACTGTGAAACTAGCAACTTCCACTCAACAAAATATATGGCAAATCCTATGACTTTTCTGGTCCCTTAGTGGTAATAAAAGGTCCTCCCCTAAGTAATTAATATGTGCAGTTGTTGGGGGGGCCTTATGTACCCATACACGAACCCTTCCCCCTTATCCTCCTCTCCTCATAAGACAGAGGACACAAAGGACCGAGTTAACCGCACCCCTGAAGTTTAGCTGGAGGTCCCTAACTCACCAAATCTCTCTGGGCAAGCTGGGGAATCTGCCCACCCTCTATGGCCCCCATATAAAGAGGGGGTCTGTAACTGCTCCCACGGTGCACACGCCATCTTAGCACTGCCCAGGTGGGTGGCTATTCCCTTCCATTAATCCTGACCTAAACTTCTCTGCTCCCACGTGATCTCTGGGTGTCGCCTTTCAGCAATAATTAATTAACACTTTATTTATTTATTTATTTATGTTTGGCCAGGGCTGGGCTTGAACCCGCCACCTCTGGCTTATGGGGTTGGCATCCTACCCTTTTGAGCCACAGGCACACCCCAATTAACACTTTTAAACTTCATTCAAAGGTATGGCTATTCTCCTTTCCTAACTTAGGCCTGCTGCTATTCTGCCTTAAGCGTCCATGCCTCTTCTCAGGGCTGCAGGCAGCTGAGGAGCATGGAAGAAGGCAAGAAAGTGTTCATGGACTGACACTGTCCCCTCAAGCTCATGTCCACTTTCCGCTCCTAGTGGCATTCAAGTCCACTCTTCTTTCCAGGGGTGCTTCATAGCTTCCTTGCAGGACCAACTTCCCCATCTCAAGTGACATTTGACCTACATTCCCTTGATGCTGCAGACATACTGTCCTTGGGGATTGGTGATAATGTCTCTGTTGGCCTCTGGCTCTCTATACTCCACCCCCACTGACATGCACACACAGGCTCCTTATTTTTCTGTGGGAGCTGCCAGGCCTGCACCTCCTCGTTGGGCCCCTGAGGCAAGATGTAACACTCCTGCCCCAGCTCGCTCTCAGTAGTCTGCAGGAAACACTCTTCCACTCCGCACCCTGACAGACTGGGGTGCAGGCTGGCTCTGGAAGCAGCCACTGTCTGTGCTCTGCCGTCAGCCCAGACTGACATGTGGAGCTGGCTCCCCACTGCCCCAGCTGAGAAATTTACACAAAAGTTGGTCCAGAATCAGAGTGCCTGACAGGCCTCTGGCAGAGGATAATGGGAATCACACCACAACACAGGGGACCATCTCCAGATGGACTCTGGACTATCATACCCCCACAGGCCTTGGGGCCAGATATCCCCCCTTGTTCTATCCTATGACTGTTCCATCTTTGGGTCTCTAATGTTCTTTTAAGCCACTATACTTGCCTCCGCAAGGAACCTCATCTGTCCAGATCTAGTCCTGGTTAGCTTCCTTCCTCCTAATGTCATCTGGTCCATGTCTTCTACACTTACCATGTTTGTTCTCTAGTTTTATCTGATTATGACTTAATTTACATGGGTCTTTCTCTGTAATGATCCTGGTAATGCAGCCTGGCTAAGGGGCCTTAACTTGCCTCAGGTGAATTCCCTTGCTAATATAACGTGGCCACAGGGCCCTTCTATTTCTGCAGAATTGCCCCAAGCCCAGGTGTGGAAATACACAGACCCCACCCACTGAATGAAGCTGCTGCCTTTTTTTGAAGCTTCTTTCTTGATGTTAGTAGGTCACATGGTTTCTCCCCATCCTATATCCCTGTACTTCTTATTCTCAGTTTCATAGGTGGTTCTGGGATCCTTCTACTTCCTCCCGTCACTTCTGCCCTTAGGGCTCACAGCTGCTTGGGCTGACAGCAGAGAGTAAAGAATGATTCAGGGTTTAACCGCTTTTTTCTTCCACCAATGTATACCCTATAAAGATTATTTTATTGAACTTGAACTATCTTCATTGCAACTGACCTGACATTTTCTCTGCATTCTCTTTAACTGTACTGATGTCATTTTGTAAGGAGGTAATGAGTTTAGCGTGTTGTATACTCCCTACATTCTTGTACTCTTCCCAATATTCCTTCTCGCTCAGTTTCTCAAGAAATAGCTTCTCGGCATTGTTAATTTGTACACGCATATCTGTGGAAAAGAAAATTAAGACATCATGTCATTTCTATCACCTTTGTAACCATTATATGTTGCAATCTGGGATTATAAAGTTAAGATATGATATTAAAATATTCCCAATTCAAAAATACTATTTCATATCTGTAATTTAGGGAAATCCAAACTAGTTAAACTATTGTTTATCCATTTGTCATGATTCGAAATCTAAATAAAATTAAACTGCCAGTTATAAAGTAGATGTGTGGTTTGATTGAATGATATAATAGACAATTAACCCTAGGAAGCCAAGAGCTTAAATTACTCCTGTGATAACTTAGTAAGGGTCCTTTATGACATACTACACTATACGTGTATTCTTTATTAGTAAACTGACATTTTTCTGGCCATTATACCTCTGGGAAAGAGTGATTTTGACTTGTGTCCTTCCCAGGTCCTTGGCAACCAATTTTGTAAGTAACTTGTTTGATTCAGTCATCTGAAGTTCATTTATTTGGCTCCTCTGGTGTGAAATGATAACATTATGACAGTTATAATAACATGTCTTCTCCCACTCTCCACTTAGTAAAATTTCAGAGAGAAAAATGAGTCCCCCAGTTAAATATGTACAAATACTGAGCTACCTCAAGCATATGAATTTTGTCTCCCCTGGTTCACTTGCTAAACGTGATGTTCTATTCAAATTCTAGGCTTGAGTATCACGTTGCTGGATATTTTGGAAATGAAGCATTTCACAGAGCCAAATATGATGCCCTGATGGCTTTTGGCTCACTACCATGCATTACTTTGTTTGAGAGCTCCTTGAGGGTAGGACCATACCTTATTCATCTCTGCAAATCCATCACTTAGCAGAGAGCCTGGCAGTTAGTGTTCAATAAATGTCTATTGAATGATTGAAGCCCTCTGATCAGGCCAGAGGGATGCACTGCAGTCCAGGGGAGCAGAGGGACTCGGGACATATCCTCTTCCAAAAATGTACGTGATATGTATTTTTAATTCTCTTAACAAAGTGTGCTTGTTATTGTCATTAGACAATTATTAACACTGCTATAACCCAGTAATGCAGCTCCCCCCTCACTTGGGCAGATTAATACTGTCTCAGCCTGTGCCACATTCAGTCTTTGAGGGCAAGGTTGCTAGAAGTCCTGGAAGGGTTTGAAAGACAGATGAGATTTTCTTAGAACCCCTTTCCCTTCCTTTTTTAGTCTCAATCTCTCTCTCTCTTCCCCCCCCCCCACACACACATACACACACACACACGTACACACCACATAGAGAGAGAGAGAGACTTAAAAATGTAACCTGAGGCTGGTCACCTATAGCTTAGTGGCTAGGGTGCCAGCCATATACACTGGAGCTGGCCGGTTCAAATCCAGCCCTGGCCTGCCAAACAACAGTGACAACTACAACCAAAAAAGAATAGCTGGACATTGTGGCAGTCACCTGTAGTTCCAGCTACTTGGGAGGCTGAGGCAAGAGAATCGCTTAAGCCCAAGAGTTTGAGGTTGCTGTGAGCCATGATGTTACAGCACTCTACAGAGGGCAACATAGTGAGACTCAGTCTCAAAATATACAGCAGATGAGGTGTCAGGTCCAGGTCAGCAGCACCCTGTCCTTCCTGTGATTTGGTTACATGAAAAAGTGAACATCTCATTTATGCTTAGGCTAGTTTGAGCTGGATCCTTACAACTGAAAGAGGCCTGACTAAACATTGGGAGGAAAGGTTTATAGTAGTATTTCTCAAACCTTACTGTGCATAGGGATCACCTGGGATCTTGCCAAATGCTGATTCAGATGCACGAGGCCTGATTATGGCCGAGAGTCTGATTGGAACAAGCTCCCGGGTGGGACACCTGCTGCTGCTTCAGACCAAGAGGAGTTGCAGGACTACCTGGTACAGAACAAAACCACCTCAGAAGTTCTTTGCAGACGCTTCCGTCCTCCCACTTTTCCTTTCTTCCTTGGTGTCCATGGGCTTTTCTTCCTCACACAACCATGCATGCTCAGCCCTCTGCTACTGTGCTCCACTCGGCCTCACTCTTGCTCAATACACACATCCCTGTACTCAGCCCAAACCATGCCCAGGCGGCCTGACTAATGGGGCCCATTCCACTGGAAGGCAGGTTAGCCAGCTTACATGAGCATCCTTCAGAGGGCTCACTCCCATCTCTAGGTACTCATTAAAGTCTTCCTTCTAAACATCAGCAGGACTTTCTCAGAAATGAGTCCTGAAAAACACACTATTTATCACCTCGTGACATCAGTATTGCCCCTGAAGAGATTTGGGTAGGAGGAGGTATATGGGAACAGCTTGGGTGGCCTCTAAAAATGAAGCTTGTCCACTGGTGTTTGGGCTTGGACACTATTCACTAGGAATAACAAATACTTAATTGAGAGGGATGCCTGCTTTGTGCAAAGGGCTTGGTTAAGCAGGCACTCTGAAATACATGAAGAGATCCAGGAGAATCTGGTCCCTCCTTTGGCCTCCTCACTCCTGACACTGATTTTTGATAGTGCTCAAGTCTCTTCCCCATGTTGTCCAGCTTCCTAGCAGAGATGGTATTTATAGAGGTTCTAGAAAAAGTAGCTTTATAAATCTTAGCAGCGGGTTTAAGATGAAGAACTAGGAATAAAACACTTATGTATCAAAACTGCACAAGACTCACCCTGAGTATTTGATTTGCATCCACTGGTATTTCCTGAATTCACCAGAGTGTGTTCTGGGTCTTTTGTTACCCGCTCCTGGTATCATTTCTATCCATGTCCTCAAAACGTCCCCTTTCCCAATTCTAATTCCTACTTTCCCCATCTAAATGGGGTGCTTAGCCCCCTTAGAGATATTGGGGGGGAATGTTTCATTGTTATATTCACCTTATCATTCTAAAATCGAAACTGAGATTGAAGCCATCAAACAATATAATTTCACAAAAGAAAGAACAGCGTTGCCGCTGTGAGGAGAAGCTGGGGGCGGCAAACAGCAGCCCTTTCACCTGTCCGTGTTTGCTCACGCCCTGCTCCTCCCCTCACTTGGCTCTGTCACCTCTACCCACTTTGTTACTTCCCTCTCTCATCATTTACCGACGTGTACTTGCGGTGGCAATGATGGTACCTGAAATATGTTCACAGCATTTTGAACATATTGGAAGACAAAAAACAAGAAATAACTTGATACAACTTTCTGATAATTTTCTAAGTTCCTGAATCACCTTTCAAGTATTTTTCCTGGTCTCTTTCAAATTTCCATTTTTCCTTCATTGCTTCTTCGACGTCCTCTCTGGTTATCTCTGGTGACCCGTCAGAACTCTCCTCCCTCAGTTCTTTTAGTAGGTTCCGGAGGTGTCGTTTCTGTTCATCTTTGAGGCGGCTATTCTGTCATGAAAATGGGCAACAGTTAATATCTGAAAAACTATTTACATCATGTTTCCTCAAAATGGAGTCAGACACTGAGGTTTGAAAAGTGAGAAAGAAACATTTCATGAAGAGGTATATTTTATACAATATTTCTAAGAGCTTTTGGATCTGGTAAGACCCAAAATAAAATTTAAATCACCAACATGGATAGAATTTTACATTTAAAAAATCACATTAGTAATCTGTCAGTCTGTCACCCTGTCTTAGAATCAATGAAAATGAAAGTCAAACCTTGGAGGTCAATGTTTTCAATCCCCCACTAATGCTTTGCTAATATTCACACCCATTTAGTCATCTACCATGCACCAAGTGGTGTTCTGGGCATTGGGACTGTTTAGTGAACAAAATGGAAAAATATTACTGCTTTGTGGAACTTACATTATTCTTTGTTTTTCTCATAAATAATCCTAATTCTATTCTTTTGTGGTGATGGTTACTTCACCAAAATTTCACACTTGAAATGTGGACTAGGTTCCTCTTATAGATAACCCGCCCGTGTTTCCAATCTAATTTATTCAACTTAGAATTACTCTTGCCCTTGCAATTTTATTGTGTATATACAGGTAAATAAGAACTGAGATTAGCTGGATGTGGTAGTGTGTTTCTGTAGGGGCAGGATGGTCACCTGAGCTCGGGGGTTTGAGGTTACAGTGAGCTATGATGACACCAATGCACCCTAGCCAGAGCAACAGAGAAAGACCCTGTGTACCCTCAGCCCCGAAAAAGAACTAAGAGAATTTATCACAAACAAATCTCCTCTGAGGATAATGAGTCCTTCATGATGAAGTGAAGACAGTAATTTGAAAGTATAAGAAAAATAAGAACACTAATAAAGGTAAATGTGTATGAAACTATGAAAGACAGAATTAGGTTGGGTGTGGTGGCTCCAACATGTAATCCTAGCACTCTCGGAGGCCGAGGCAGGTGGATTGCTTGAGCTCAGGAGTTTGAGAGCATCCTGAGCAAGAGGAAGACCCTGTCTCTACCAAAAACAGAAAAAATTAGCCTGTCATGGTGGGAGGCGCCTGTACTCCCAATTACTTGGAAGGCTGAGGCAGGAGGATTGCTTGAGCCCAGGAGATTGAGTGATGATGCCCCTGCACTCCAGCCAGGAGACTCCATTAAAAAAAAGAAGACAGAATAAATGTATTTTTTGTTATTCCTTTTCCCCCCTCTCTGATTTAAAAGACAACGGCATAAAGCAATAATTATGAATTTGTTTATGAGCACACAATGTATAAAGATGTATTTTGCATACACACGAAATGAGGATAAGGAATAAAGTTTTCTTATGTTATTAAAATTAAGTTGGCACTAATCTGAACTACATTGTTATAAATTAAGATGTTAACTAGAATCTTCAGGGCAACCAGAAAGATAATAATTCAAAATATAATAAGAGAAACAGTACAGCATTAAAATGGCATATTAGACAACATTTAACACAAATGAAGACAGTAATGAGAGAGCCACAGAAAGAACATGAGACACAGAAAACAAATAGCAAAATGTTAGAGTCAATCTTCCTTATCAGAAATTACATTAAATGAAAAGGGATTAATTTTATTAATGGTTAAGTGGTAATTCAAAGGCAGAGCTTGGCAGAATACACAAAACAAGAACCAGCTATATGGTTTCTATGAGAAACATAGGAACAAAATAAAACCCAACTATGTATTTCCATGAGAAACACTTCAGATTCAAAGAAACAAACAGGCTAAAAGTAAAAGGATGGAAAACAGATGGACGGTGCAAAACAGTAACCCAAGGAGAGTGGAGTGACTCTACTAACATAAGAAAAAATAGGCTTTACAAAAACAGGCATTACTGGACACAAGAAAGGACATTATATAATAACGGAAGAGTGAAACTGTCACTAAAATATAACAACTGCAAAGATGTATGCCCTGTATTCGGTATTCATGCCCCCTCAAAGTTCATGCCAACCCAGAATCTCAGCATTCTAGCTTGAGCAACAAAAAGAGATTCTGTCTCAAAAAAAAAAAAAAAAAGGAACATTTGAATGTTATTTAGCATATTTACAATGCTCTATAACCTCTACCTCTTTCTAGTTCCAAGATATTTTCATTATTCCAAAGTAAAACCCCCTTTGGTCATTAAGTCGTTTCTCTCTATCCTTCCTTCTCCTCAGCCTTGCAAAACACCAACCTGTGTTCTATCTCTGCAGCTTCATATATTCTAGATAGTTCACATAAATGGCATCACGTAATGTGTTGACTTTTTGTCTTCGGTATATTTTATTTAGCATATTTTTGAGGTTCATCCACATTGTACCGTTCCCTTTTATGACTTAGTAGTAATCCATTGTAAAGATACCACAATTTGCTCATCACTTTTCATCTGCTGATGGACCTTTGGGCTGTTTCCAGCTTTTGGCTATTATAAGTAGTACTGCCTTAAATATGCATATTAATCCATCTTTGTTTGAGTGCCTGTTTTTAATTCTTTTGGGAATATACCTAAGATGAGAATTACAGGATCATGCAGTAATTGTTTTCCACAGTGGCTGAATAATTTCACATTGCTGCCAGAACTGTACAAGGGTTCCAGTTTTTCCACATCCTCATCAATACTTTTGGTTATAGCCATACTCGTAGCTGTGAAGTGGTACCTCACTGTAGTCTTGATTTGCATTCCTCTAATAATTAATTATGTTGAGCATCTTTTCATGGGCTTGTTGACCATTTGAATATCTTCTTTGGAGAAATGCTTATTCAATGCCAAACTGATTTTTGACAAAAGTATAAAGCAAATCGATGGAGGAAAGAGCTTTATCAACTAACAATCCTGAAGCAACTGGACATGATAGACAAAGAAAAAATCAACCTTGATCAAAGTCTCACACCTTTTACACACACTCGCATGCACCACGACAAACATAAAGGGTGAGACTACAAACATTTTAGAATAAAATTTTTGGAATCTAGGTTTAAGCAAAGAGTTTTGTTTTTGTTTTTGTTTTTTGAGGTGGAGTCTCACTCTGTTGCTCAGGCTAGAGTGCCATGGCATCAGCCTAGCTGACAGCAATCTCAAACTCCTGGGTTCAAGGGGTCCTCCTGCCTCAGCCTCCTAAGTAGCTCGGACTACGGGAGCCCACCATGATGCCTGGTTAATTCTTTTCTATTTTTAGTAGAGATGGGGGGTGGTCTCAGTCTTGCTCAGGCTGTTCTTGAACTCCTGAGCTCAATGAATCCTCCTGCCTTGGCCTCCCAGAGTGCTAGGATTACCGGTGTAAGCCACTGCTCCTAGCCCTACGCAAAGAGTCTTAAACTTGATACCAAAAGCATAATCTATAAAAGAGAAAACTGATAAATATGGATTTTATTAAAATGAAAAATTTTGATCTGTGAAAGATGCTTATGAAAATGAAAGACTACAGACTAGGAGAAAATATTTGCATATAACATATCCAAGAAAGTATCAGTGTTTAGAAGATTATATGTATATAAATTTTTTTACTATTGAGTCTTAAAACTCAATTGAAGTCTTAAACTTCAATTTTCCAATTGGAAAATGGGCAAAAGACGAATAAACACGTGAAAAGTCAACATCATTATCTATTAGGGAAACACAAATTAAAACCACAACAAGGTATTACTACACACTTATCAGAATGGCTAAAATAAAATAGTGAATAGTGACATCACCAGATTTTGGCAAGGAAAAGGAAAAACTGGATGACTTATCCATTGCTGGTGGGAATACAAAATGGTACAGCCAGTATGGAAAATAGTTGAACAGTTTCGTAAAAAACTAACATGTAATTATCACACTACCTAGCAATTGAATGCCTAGGCATTTATTCCACAGAATTGAAGACATGCTCACATGAAATACCTGTCATGAACGTTCATATTAGTTTTATGTGTAATAGTAGCCAATAACCAGAAACCACCCCGATGTCCTTTAGGTGAGTGGTTAAACAAACTGTGGTACATCCATAACATGGAATACGATTCACCAAAAAGAGGAAGCTAACTAATGATACAACAACCTGGATGTATCTCCAGAGGATTATGCTGAATGAAAAAAAAAAGTTCCAAAAGGTTACTTACTGTTTCTATGATATTTTTGAAATAACAAAATTATAAAAATAGAGAACATATGGGTGGCGCCTATGGCTCAGTGAGTAGGGCACCGGCCCCATATGCTGAGGGTGGCGGGTTCGAACCTGGCCCAGCCAAACTGCAACAAAATAATAGCCTGGTGTTGTTGCAGGTGCCTGTAGTCCCAGCTACTCCAAAGGCTGTGGCAAGAGAACCACCTAAGCCCAGGAGCTGGAGGTTGCTGTGAGCTGTGACGCTACGGCAACTCTACCGAGGGCAACAAAGCGAGTCTCTATCTCTAAAAAAAGAAAAAAAGAGAGAGAATATATTAATGGTTTCCCGGGGTCAATGAGGGGATAGAATTGGGGAGTGAGTGGCCATAAAGGGCAGCATGAGGGATGCGTGTAGAGATGGAAGTACTCTACATCCTGACGATTAACATTAATATTATCAACATCCTACATGTGATACTGTGCTATAGTTTTGTAATATTGTTACAGCAAACTATGATAGGTAATGGGTACATGTGATCTCTCCCTTATAAGTGGATGTTAATCGATGATTACCTCAAAGTACAAAGTTTAATTTTTAATAAATGAAGGCAAATTAATGTTAGCAACTAAAAAATAAATAATTTATTGCCCTTAAGCCAGTTCTCAGACATCGTATTTTCTTGAATGAAATACAGATTCATGTTTTCTTTGCTTATAAATAAGTTGAATCACTTTAGCTTGGCATAAGTTATTTTAAAATGAAATATTTGTAGAAACTTGAATAGCAGCAATGGAAATATCACTTGCCAAACTACTGCTCTGCTAAAACTTTTTCCAAACATGGACTTTTCCTTTATTTTTATACAAATGGAAAATTACTTTATTAAGTATGTTTTGAGTACTAAATAAAATTTGTGATTTTACTCCTGTTAGTTAATTTTAGTAAGGAAACAATGGCTTCTAAGTTAAATTCTGCATCATAAATATTCACTATGATTTATAGGCAAAAATTTCCAAAGATAGTGGCAACTTAAAAACCATTACATGCAATTTAAAAACAAATATGTATAACAAAGAAATTTTCCTTGTATTTTCCATAATTGGCATAATATATCTCAAAGTGAATCTGGTATTCTTGGATCATATTTTTCACACAATGACTATTCTTTGCAAGCATGCAATGTTTTTAATATGTAAATTAAAGCAGCAGCACATGTGCTAAAATGTTATTTAATGCTGGATAAATATTATTAAATGGTATTTGACATTACATGTAAATTCAATAACATCTACATTAAATTATCCAAATCCCATATGAATTTCAAATGGAAGGAGAATGTGCCTGACATGTTACAGAACTCAATACATCTGACAAATTAACTTTCAGCAATATATGGAAGTAAAATTCAGTTAGACATATTTACCAATGTGCTAAAAATATGTTTATCCTACAAAGTGAAATAATTATTACATGAGATAAAAACAATTAGCCCATTATAAAATGGAAAAAGAGTATTCAATAAATAAGCTACAAAAAATAAAAGAGGATTGATTTTGCTTTTTTATATAGCCATCTGATGGACTTTACCCTTTTAACTTTTTAAGACTCACAAGAACAAAACAAAGGAGATGCCAAAATAGTACAGAGTTTTAATCTAACATTCACCCAACTTTACCCAATGATAACATCCTATATAACCACAGTACATTATTAAACCTAGGAAACTGACACAGGCACAATAATATTAATTAACCTAGAGACTTTATTCATTTCAGTTTGCACATGCACTCATTTTTTTGTACAGCATCATAAAATTTCATCACCTATAGATATGAAAATTATCAACACATAGGTGATATTTGAAGCCACGGTGAGATCACTCCAGAAGAGTTTAGAGTGAGATAAAAGGGTTGAGACCTAGTAAATGCCATAATTAAAGGATGAGTCCAGGAAAAGAGAATCCAGTGAAAAATAAGAAGAACTGGTCACAAAGCAAGGAGAGTGAGATCCTGGAACCCAAAGGGGAAAAAGAGTGTTAAGATGAAGGCAGGGACTGCTGCAGGGCCGGGGGTTGCGTCTTTGTTGTCCTTAATTTACCCCTGATGAATGGATCTGGCAAATTGGTCATTAATAACTTCTACTAGAGCAATTATGGTGGGACAGTATGAGTGAAAGAATGAAGTGGGAGGTAAAGAAGTAGACACAGTAAGCCATGAAATACATGGCTAATGAGGCAAACAACTATGAACGCCAACTGAGAGAAAGCTAATAAATTAAGTGATGGTCCAAATAGAACTAAATACACACAGGAAGAGGGGAGGAGGCAAGAGGAGGGGCGTTTTTGATTTTGAGATAACTGAGGAGAAAGAAGATATCTTCCTATTGAATCATGTTTAATTTAGCAATTTAAATATCTATAACTTCAAAAAATTTTCCTTCCACTGATGTTAGTGTGAATCAACATGATACTTATTTATTAAACACCTACTCAGGCTGGGCCCTTCCGGAGACACAGAGACAGCCAAGATTCGATTGCTACTGCCTAAAGAGCTTTCAATTTAATAATGGAAATCTATTTTCCCACAATATTCCTGCTTAGATTTGAGGAATGAAAAGGAGCTGGCCTAGAGAAAAGCATTCCAGGAAGAGGAAATAGCATGGTGAAAAGCACAAGAAAAAAGAAATTGGTTTTCCAGGATTTGAAAGAAGCAGTGGTTACGAAAGGATGGAGCCGCTGGGGACAAGGTTGGAGAGGTAAGCAGGGGTCAGATTCTGCAGGGCCCTGAAGACTTTAATAAAGACTATGCATTTTACTTTTTGTGCAGTAGGAAGCCACTGAAAAGTTTTAAGCACTGAAAGGTTTCAAACAGTATTCAAAGAGTAATTCTGGTGCACTGTGGGGAATGTAATGGAGTGGGAAGGAGGGTGAAGAAATGGGCGGCTTAAAATGGGCCAGTCGCTGCATAAATGGAAGGAAATGGATGATGTTCAGGAGGCCCAGTAGAAGCTACAATCTGCCTCTCCATCCTCCTCATTGCTGGGTCCACTAGTATGCAGAGTTCGGTCCGGTCTCCTTCCTGAGCTGATCCTCATGGAAACAAGAACTCTCAATGTTTCTGGTTCCAAATAGGCGGATAATGGAGAAAGTCATCACTCAGTCCTGATTTGTCGTACTTTCTACAACCAAGACCTGACCCAGGAGTCCCAGTGCTGACCACAGGAGCACGGGCACTGGTGCCTGCATCGTGCCCACTCTTTGGTTTCCAGCTGTCCTCATATAGAGACTGCATTCAAGTGCCGATGCCAAACTGTCTGCTTTGGTTCCTAATATAAGTGACTGAACCTTGAGGAGTGTGACAGTGTCAGAGTCACAGTAATAAATATCACCATGAGGGATGTGTCTTCTCCAATAAATATTGAATGAATGAATGAAACATGGCTCTATAGAAAAGACAGGACTCCCCATTTCACAAAAGGGAAATTGAGGCTCATACCAATTTTGGCCAAAATGACATCAGCAGCATATTGTACAGTCGAGATGCAAACTCAAGTCTCTAACTCCAGGCTGCATTAACATTTGTAAAAATAGTCTTTTTAGAAAAAGCCAAATAAGACAGTTAGCTGTGGACATTTCAGGATCCATATAAAATAAATGTGTTAACCAGGGGCACCTTGGGTATTTCCTCGTACTGCAGATGCTTTCAGGGATAAGTCATGTTAGTTATCATTGACTGCTTCGAAGCTTCATTTCTGTGCATCTTCAGTCCTGATAGTTAGATACAGGACCCTTTTGATATTCATTTTAATCTGATTTTATAAAAATAATGATATCATCTTAAATAGGCAATTAGTCATTTTAACAATGGAGACTGTACTTTTCAAATGGTATTTACAGATACACACTCAGAAAATCCAAAAGAAAATGACATGAAAAAATAGAGAACCAATCTTTAGTAGTTTGGTAAATAAGAAATCAAAAGTTAGATGTGGTTTCAAAGCTTTGACTGTCCTTAGGATCTAACTAACATAATTCAAGCTAACTTCTTTTGACGTTATAATTACTCTAATGAGAACAGCAGTACCCTCTTGCCTCACATATATAAAGAAACTTAAAAGACTGTAAATCAACCAGTTCCAAACCTTGACGATATACTCGAAACATCCTACAGTATATTTCATCATAATTCACAATTTTAGAAGCATGTATGTAAATGTTTAATGACTACATATGGGCTCTAAATTTTATACTCACTCTTTCATGATACTTTTGGTTTTTTTCTCTAAGTTTCTTTATTTGAAACATGAATCGCTCCACTGAATTTTCCTTTATATGACAGCTAAAAATAAACAAAGACAAGATGTGTTACAATTATTTGATTTTAAGTAAATGATTAAATATATTATAAAAAACCATCTAAGGTTAAGAACCTTTCCTAAATGATTTTGTATTTCTTAATCTATTTTACTCACTGAAATATATATAGGAGAGATAACTTTGGGTTGTTTTTTTTTAAACTCAATTTCTATTCATATTTTAAAGCTGTAATCTTTATACTTTCTAACTGCTTACAGATAATTCAGCTTAAGGGAAACCTAAGTGAGAGGATACCCAGAAGACATGCTCTCTAGAATTCTAAAAACATTCAGATAAAAATTACAAACAAAACAAAAACTTTATAAGGGCAAACATACCTTCTTACAGATGTAACACTATTTCTCTGCATGAGTGGGGCAGACAAATTAATCTCAGTCATGTGGTCCTCAGTGGTTGAGACAGAGTCTTTAGATGGGCTGGTTCCTATACTTCCGGGCTACTTCTGAGAGCCTTCCTTGGTGATAACTGAGCATGCAGTGATCTGGCTGGAGACTGCATCCAGCCCTTGACCCCAAATATTGCAAGGAACATACTTACACTAGAAAAATTATCTGTTGTTTATCTGAATTTCCAGTGTAGTGGGGTAACCCGTATTCTTTGCTACATCAGGAACGCCACACTTAAGCCCCCCATCCTTCCCCTGGGAGCAAGTAGGAGCACACGGCCTCGGGCTCTGTCTCTTGTTCATTTTGCAGTTAGTATTTTAGGGGGATCTGAGGGCCCTGGGCAGACTTGGGGAGAAATTCTGAGACGTACTAATGCTTTGGTGGCTTCATCGGCCCCCTTGTGGAGGTCACGGTAGTTACAGGTCTAACTAGCTGCTCGCAGGTAGATTCCCCAGAAAACTTAACTTCAGAACTGCATGCTATTAGCCAGTGTGGGGAATTTTAGCTTCACTATTCTCTAGTTTTTCCTTTTCATATCTCCACAATATACTCAGTGCCCTGACAACCCACATGTCCTATTAAATACTAAAGCAAGTGGAATGATAAACCAGTGTATATTAAAGTTGTTGAGGGTTATAGTACCATCCAAAGCACAGTGATATTATTTGTTAGTGATATATATAATGAATCACCTTTCCCCTTTCCTCTCTATGTTATTAAAATGTTAGTAATGTGTCAACTATTCTCTTCCATGCAATTTTATTAAAAATTCTGAGAAGGAAAATGAATACATTTGAATTCCAAACTAGTACATTTTTATCTTTTAATTTTAATTCATAACCATACCCACACCCATTTCTGTATCTATATCTATACTCTCTGTAGAAAGCTGAGGAAAAAAATACGTATAAAGAGAAAATGAAACCACTGTTTCTTGGAGATGATCACTTGAAGGAGTTAGCACTGACCGTGCCAAGGCTATACAATCAACGCTAGAGGTTCACAACCTTATGTTCTTAGATAGAGTTCCTATAGCCATGAAATAACCTGATCGAGGGGCAGGATTGCTTTACTACCAGTGTTTTCGGAATAGTTGAACAATTTACACTCACCAGCAGAAGAAAGTGCCTGTTTCATGGCACGCATTTCATCACTAAGTATAATCATTAAAAAAAAATTATTTCCTATATCGATAGGCAAAAATAATATATTTTTTGTGTTCGTGACTGTGATTGTGCTCTCAGACAAGATCCAACAGTATTTACCCAACAACAACAATAAAACCACCACAATATTCACTTAGCAAAGAAACTCTATACTGGAGATACAAAAGGAATAAAATGCAGTTTTCACAGAGTTCACAGTTTGTTAAGGGAGAGACAGGTAGAAACGTCCCTCTGTATTTTTCTCTCACCTCAAATATCGTTCTGCCTTATCTGTATGAAAACACGAATCCCCAAACTATCCACACAAATTTGATTTTTTCAAAAAAATCTGTATTTTAATCTCTATCTTTTTACCCCAAACCATATCCACAACTATTTCTACATCTGTATTCACACTCATTGTAGAAATCTGGAATAAGAACAAAAAAGGAGGAAACGAAAACCGTCATTACTCAGAAATAATCATTCTATAGATTTAATATCGGCAGTATTAGCTCTTCAAAAACAATCCGAGAAATCCATGATCTTATTTTCTTGGGATAAACTTGAAAAAAAAAAGTTTAGTTGCTCAAAAACCATGAATGAACTGCCTATACTGTGTCCTCACTGCTTTGTTAAGAGAAATTTAAGATGCTGCCAGGGGACCCCTGGCCTATCCTCAGATGGTGAAAGGTGATGTCTTGTATTTGTCATGTGGCAAAAGTGCGGTCACCTGGCAACACATGGATGGTTAAATGGTCACTGGCAAAGCATAATTTAGTAAGACTTTAGTTAGCCATTGCAGTCCATGAGAATATTTATTTCGTTTTAACAAATAAAAAAGAACAAAGACATGTGATGTTCAGCGCACATCTTCTATGAGATCATGAGAATTTTTAAATATTTGCCTCTTTGTAAAGTTTTTTTAAAGCGAGAAAGTTTGGCCTCTGGTTGACCCAAAGAGAGAGAATCAGCTATAACTGGATGTCATCACCATAATCCATGGGAGCCAGTTAGAGACCAGGTTGTATTCATAGAGCCTGAGGTTTTTTTGTTCACCTTTGCTGAGATAAGATGAAGGAAATTTTCAGTTATGTTGAGAAATTAATGTGAATAGTATCTGGTTATTACTTAATATTATTTGAAGTGGAAAATAAAAGGAAACCTTTAAAAGTCCCTTCCAATGGATTTTTCTTAGTGTTCTGACTCTTTCACTAACTGCCTTCTAAAAAGAACATATGAATACATTTGGAGTTTCTCAAGAAAGAGATGGATTGTCCTTGAACATTGTTAAAAATAATTCAGTTAAACAAAGACCTAGTCACAAGCACCATGAGATTCCCCATTTTTAACCTTGTACCCCCACCAATAAATGGCTTCCCATTCCCCAATCCCAAGTGTCTACTTGATCTGACCGTTGCCTAAATCAAGGGTCTGTTCTCACCTGCTCTCTCTCTCACTCCACCTTCTCTCAGTTCCTGTTCTGAATAGATCTTTCCCACCCTCTTGTCCTTTCCATAAGCCATTCTCCCCACAACTCCATGCTTCCATAACACACACTCCTCTTCCAGAGTTGAGCTCAAACATGGCTTCCTCAGACTTTTCCTACCCCTCTGACTAGGTCAAGTCCTTTAGTCATGCTGCTGATCAGTACCCTATGCTTTTCTTTCATGGAAGCTTCATTATAGTTATGCAATTTTTTTAAAAAGCTCAAATTAGTTGGTGTCTTTCTCCTGTGCTTCATCAGGGCAGAGACCGAGTGGTCCTATTCACTGCCAGACCCCTGCACCTGGCACTTGCCTTGCACTTGGCAAACACTCAAGTTCTTGTTAAATGAGGCATGAGTGAAGTACATGTCAGTCTTATTTGGGAAAAGACTAATAGTTGTCCCTTCATTCCCTAAGAATTACATATTCAAACACCTACCTTGTACCAAAAGCTGAGATTCACAAACTCTTAAGGGATTACTATCTATTAGTGGACTAAAAGATTAATGTAAATAGGTGTCACCTCAAGTTCTCCTGCTACTAGGAGCGAGACATTATGAAACATTATTACTAAAAATAATTCTCTCTTAATCACTTAGAATTGGTCTGTAGCCATTTAGGAATAATGCAAATTGGAATGTCTAAGAAATGAAAAATTAAATAAAGGGAAATTTCCTCTCCTCTATAAAAATGTACACTATTCTATATTATTATTATTATTTTGAGACAAAGTCTCACTATGTTGTCCTTGGTAGAGTGCCATGGCATCACAGCTCACAGCAACCTCAAACTCTTGGGCTTAAGCAATTCTCTTGCCTCAATCTCCCAAAGAGCTGGGACCATAGGCCCCACCGCAACACTCGGCCACTTTTTGGCTGTAGTTGTCATTGTTGTTTGGCAGGCCTGGGCTGAGTTCAAACCCTCCAGCTCCAGTGCTGAGCCTAACCATTCTATACTTTAAGAGGTGAGACAGCAAGTTATCATGTGCACAGGAGACAGTGGCCAATAATACAATGCAGGGAAGTTAAAATGTATTAGTGAATGCTGCTTCATAGCCACTACTTGGACTATGTCATATTCAAAGTTTTAAAAAAACTTTAAATATATGCACATAGCTCCAGGGTACAATATGCTACTCTTCCACTTCTATTCTTTTTTTAATTTTTATTAGATCATAACTGCATACATTACTGCATTTATGGGGTACAATGTGCTGATTTTATACCAGCCCATTGGTTTACATACCAATGGTATGTAAACATACCATTCGGAATGTTTACATTGAACTGGTCAACATAGCATTCACCCCACTTATTTAATTGTTGTGTTTAGACATTTATACTCTACCATTAGTATATTTGACTTGTACTCTTGCAAATGTGCACAGTAGGTGAGGTCCCACCCATTAACAAAAATTGTCTCTCACTGGATAAAAGATTTAAACTTAAGACATGAAACTATAAAGATTCTTAGAGAGAGTGCAGGGGAAACACTTGAAGAAATTGGCCTGGGAGAATAGTTTATGAGGAGGACCCCCACCCCCCCGGGCAATTGAAGCAACACCAAATATACATTACTGGGATCTGATCAAACTAAAACGCTTCTGCACAGCCAAGAACACAGTAAGTAAAGCAAGCTGACAGCCCTCAGAATGGGAGACGGTATTTGCAGGTCATGCTTCTGACAAAGGTTTGATAACCAGAATCCACAGAGAACTCAAACTTATTAATAAGAAAAGAACAAGTGATCCCATTTCATTGTGGGCAGGTGACTTGAATAGAAGTTTCACTACAGAAGACAGGCTCATGGCCTACGGACACATGAAAAAATGCTCATCATCGTTAATCATCAGAGAAATGCAAATCAAAACCTCTTTGAGGTATCATCCACTTCTGTTATTTTGTTGGCTTTTGGGTGCATCATTTCCTTTTGGAGTTATATGAGTCTTAACAATGACTGCCATTTATATTTGGCGACGCTTAGATTTCAGAACACAAACTTACTGATAGTCAAGAAATGCTTCATTGGTAGACAGTTTGACGTCTTTTGATGATCCATCAGGCAGATCCTTTTTATTTGCTTTTCCCGAGTTTTCCATTGTGCTGGGTAGCTATTAGAAAATATACCTGTTTAGAAAAGAGACATTGGGAAAGTGAATAAATTCCATCTTTGCCCCTCTCCTTGTGTTTACTCTAGATAAGGCACTGCTGGTAATTAATTTAGAACTGGCTTTTCCATCCCGACTTCTTCCATGTGCCCAGATCTAACACCAACCACAAAGCCAGAGCATCATGTATCAGTTGAATTCTTGAATCTGGTGAGTTTCACTGGTACAGCTTTGCTCCCGCCCAAAACTTTCTAAGAAACTCCCTCTTATGTTATGTTTTCTAAGAAACTCCCTCTATATCTGTTGCTGCTGTCAAGATCCTTTAAGGGCAAAGGATTGAACCTTTTCAATCATTTTATTTCTCTACAATGTTGGCAAACTGCACTGCACATAGCAATAACTCAGTAACTATCTATTAATATTTTTACAATTAAAACAAAACCACAATTTTCTATGGGCACCAAGAAGCTAGGATCCAAAAGAACTAGAACTAGAATCCAAAAGAATTAGGGTTGGCCAGGGTTGTCATGAAGAGCAAATAAAAACACACATTGAAGCTGGGCGTTGTGGCAGGCGCCTGTAGTCCCAGCTACTCAGGAGGCTGAGGCAAGAGAATCGCCTAAGCCCAGGACCTAGAGGTTGCTGTGAGCTGTGTGACACCACTGCACTCTCCCAAAGGCAACAAAGTGAGACTCTGTCTCTACAAAAAAATAAAAAATAATTAAATAAATAAAAGCACACATTGAAGTATTTATGTAAGTGGTTGAGATTTACAAGTGCCAATAAGAATAATGTATTTATAGTAACTTTCATCAGCTATTTAATTGTTTTTATATCCAATAATTAAAAATTATCACGAATAATATTTTTAATAGTTTTACTTTATTTTATTTTTATTTTTTGCAGTTTTTTGACCGGGGCTGGGTTTGAACCCGCTATCTTCAGCATATGGGGCCAGCACCCTACTCCTTTGAGCCACAGGCACCGTCCTATTTTTATTTTTATTTGTTTATTTATTTATTTTGAGACAGAGTCTCACTATGTCACCCTGGGTAGAGTCCCGTGGCGTTACAGCTCACAGCAACCTCAAACTTTTCGGTTTAAGCAATTCTCTTGCCTCGGCCTCCCAAGTTGCTGGGACTACAGGTACCCGCCACAATGCCCAGCTATTTTTTTTGTTGCAGTTGTCATTGTTGTTTAGCTGGCCAGAGCCAGGTTCAAACCCACCAGCTTTGGTGCACGTGGCTGGCACCATAACCACTGTGCTACGGGTGCTGAGCCAATATTTTCTTAAAGGGAAGATCAAGGCCCACTGTTCACAGATGTTTACAGTAAGCAGAGATACTTCTTGTATTTGGTTTGGGTCCTAAAGTGCACTCTTCATATTTATAATCCTCCTTAACATATTTTTTATCTTTTAATCTCTACTAATCTCAAAAGATAAGTGCTTAGCCTTCAGTGAATGTATCAGTAATTGGCTGTAGTAGAAAGCACATAACTTTCATAATCAATTGTTTAAATAGCTAGAATCTTCCATGAGAGTGGAAATGATGTAATTCTTATATATTACTCTATTTCCCCACCTAGCTCAATAGGCATACAATACATCCTTGTCAAATGAATACATGAGTGGATCAGGCAGATGTGTTTTAACCTTAGATCTACAACCTATAATCTATGTGACATTGAAATTTACTTAAAAAATTACTTAATTGTTTTTTGAAGTTCAGTTTCCTCATCTATAAAGTGAGAATGACGATCTTACTCTAAGAGCTATTGTATAGATCAAATACTCTAGTATTTAAAGCACCTCACATAGTGTCTGACATATAGAATAAACTTAATAAATATTGCACCCCTTCCTCTTTCTCTTCAAATTATAGGTAACTGTAAGGCAGATTACATCTGCCTGCTGCCAAGTATAACAATATGTGGAGAGACTAATCCCTGAGGTTTGCTATTGTCACCTTCATCATTGATTTGGATCCCTGACTCGGCAACCTACATAAATCTTCATAGATCATTTAGATCCACAGAGGAAAAACGGGCTGAAATTAGCTTTTCTCTGCAGACACAATGCTCACATGTGTGGACCTCCAATGTGATGTCTTTGTGTCTGAGATTCTTCTTTCTAACCAAGCGTGTACATCTGTATATGCTAATAAATTCAAGCATACATGAATGCAAATATACTACAATACTTTCCAACTCAAAAGCAGGCAGGAGACACAACAAAAAGATATAATACATTAAAATAGGGTAATTAATCTGCATTAAGTAGAGTTTCCTCAAATATGAAAGTATTGAGGATTGGCTCAGTGCTGGTAGCTCAGTGGTTAGGGCGCTGGCCACATAAACAGGGGTTGGTGGGTTCAAATCCGGCCTGGACCTGCTAAACAACAGTGACCACTATAAAAAAAAGTAGCAGGGCGTTGTGGCGGGTGCCTGTAGGCCCAGCTACTTGGGAGGCTGAAGCAAGAAAATCACTTAAGCCTAAGAGTTTGAGGTTGCTGTGAGCTGTGACACAACAGCCCTCTATCGAGGATGACATAGTGAGACTCTGTCAAAAAAAAAAAAAATTGAGGATAATTCAGTAAGCTCCATGTCAAAATGTGTCATCACTATACCATCACAGCTCAGAGAAAAGTGTCAGCTAAGAAAAAATTGCTCTGTTTTGTTTCGGAAGCGGAGTTGAATTTTTATATTATTTCCTATTTTAGAATTAGAATTTTTCACTTGACTTTTACCAAAAAAGGTAGCATGCTGACAAATGTTTCATTTTAAAATAATAACTTACTATTTAATAATGTTTTTTTACTATATTTTATTTAACAGTTAAAACAAATGTCAACATTAATCTTTCTTCCTAAGTCATACGGAAGAGATTAAGTGTTATGGTTTCCACCTGTGGTACCCATCTGGCCTTGGAGGAACAATGACCTCATCTTGCTCAATTACCTCAATTACCTAGTTCTTACTTTTTAATTCTCTAATGTATAATGAGTTACCTAACTGCACCTCCCGGCAAAAGGGTTTTAATAAAATATGAATGAAAACACGGATCCAGTAAAGCCCAAATGATTTATGCATAAACCATTGTAAGATTCATTGTACTTTTAAGAAAAGTAGCAAGCCAATTGGATTGCCTGCTTAAATGTTGCATTTTTGAAATGGGCTAATGACAGTACCTCCCAAAGTACTTTTGCATTATGTAATATCCTACAAGTAATGGGGACTTCCATAAACATATACGAGAAAATACAGACCCTGACCACCCAGAAGATACCTTTCTTAGTAAAGTGTGAGAATCCTAGAAAAATGTTCACAAAGTAAATGCAATGATCTTCCGGTGACAATTCCTGACACACAAACACCTAATCTGTTTGTCAGTAACTGCAAACCTCTGTTCAGTGCCTACTCTGTTTAGGGCACTTTACCCGGCCCTCAGTTGTAAAATATAAAAGAGGCAAGATCCTACTCAGACTGATGGGAAGAAGGAAGCACGCGTAGAACTTTACAAAAAGAATGAGCAACTGTAAAAGACTTCAGCAAAATCATGCAGGTAGTGCCAAGCACATCTTCACCCAGCTGCGACTTCTCTTGTGGCCGGTGTCTTTCTCCTCTCCCAGCTCTGTTTGGGCACTCTAGACATGCCCCACAGAGCGGGGCTGGTGAGCAGCCTGGATTTGAAAGAATCACGTCTTGTCTTTCCACAGTCGACTCCATTATCATTTTCTGTCAGGAAATGTTTCCATAAATATTCCCCAAATGCTTCTTAGTGAAAAGCAAGAAATCTATTTACTAAAAATAGACATATAACAATCATCTTCTTCAAATGTATTCTTCTACCATGCTTTGACTCTGCAAAATTACCCTCACAACACAAAGTACCTCCCTTCCTGTGAAGTGTCAGGATCCTGGCTCAGCATCTAGAAAGTTCAATATGACTCTTTTTGTGGCTTTCTAAATTAATGACTCCTTTAGTAATTTTACAGGGGCTGGAAGGGATAGTAGTTCTGCCTCTAATATCCTTCTGCACATATGAAATGCATCCTGAGGTTTGTTAGCTGTTTTATAAAATGCAGATTTAAATTAAAGGTATTTACTTAACAGCATTAGTAAGGATGAAGATTCTGAATAAGATTTCTTCAGGGGATGACGGCATGAAAAATCTCTACATGGGTTCCGGATGTCTTGAAGTCCTGGCTCAGCCATTAACTAGCTAGAATTCAGCTGTTAACTGCACAGTTTTGAACTTTAGTTCCAAATTATATTGAACTTTAGTTTCCAAATTATATTGAATTCTTTCCTATAAACCATAAGGCTGATAATAGTGGTAATAATAACAATAATGCAGCACTTCCAAAAGACTTGTTAAAGAGCAACCTAACTTAAAAGTCACACACCTGACTACAGTATTAATTGCAAGGCTGAAGTACATACATATTCAAAAACATTCATGGTACTCATCTTAAAAAAATATCCAATTCCTGTCATGCTGAACAACAGCCAACTACTTCAACAAACCCTCATCTTCGCAAATTCAAAAATACATGTCAATATCCTTTGATATCCAACTCTCCCTTTATACCTTGTAGTATCTATTTGTGTCCATTTAATTTTTCTTCTGAAGATTGTAAGCTCCTTGGTAGCCAACCAGAATTTTATCCCTCTTAAGTGAGCCTAGAACCTTTCATATGAAACTTATAAATCTTTCTCATTTAATAAAATAAGTCGGGTGTGATAAAAATATCATTCAATAGAGGAGCAGGAGACCCAAACTCTCTCTCATTTTACCAACCTCTGTGAGACCTCAGTTTCCTCCACTACAAAACAAAGATCTCTGAAGTCACTTCTGAAGATATTTAAATCACCAGCCTAGAAAAATGACCTATTGTCTTGATACCTGAAATCACTTAAAGACAAAGTTGACTGATTTACTAAAGGTTTATGGAACACTTACAGTAGACAAGGAAAGGGATAATGAAGAC